GCGCTTTTCTACCATCAAATGAACTAGGTCTAACCTTGCTGGATAGTGCAAAAGACCTGCAATTGCCTTTTGCTCCAAAGGTTTATATGGCACGGAAGGGCCGCGACGATCATCCAAGTTTGCAATTGAATTTCTCGGCTCAGAATTCATGGGGAATATCATTCAAATAGCATCTTATAGCACAAATTTTTCTGATCCTCACGCATATTTTTTAAAATTAATCCGGCTATTCCTCATGGATTTAGGACAAAAAGAGTGAAAAGCAAAAATCTTGGGCTTTAATGTCTTATGCTTGAAGGCTCAGAACTTTGGAATGAACGGAGAATTACGAAAGCAAAGGCCCAAATGAGAAACTAGAAAAAACGCTCTTTCAGATAGCATAAAAAGTTTTTGAGTGTATTGATTACTGACCAAATACCAGCTCTTGGAAGAAGAGGTGAGGAAAACGTGCATTAATTATGAATCAACCTAATATTATGGATATCTTATATTAGGTTGTCCCGAAAGTTTTGTCCGTTTTTTCAACCTATCATAAAAACGCGTGAAACGAAGACAGGGAAACGCTCTAAGCACTATCCGATGCATCTTTTCCTTCTCTTTCTAACTGTTATGCTTTCATGCCGATTAATCTTTTATTCACTGAATAAACACCGAAATTTCGAACCCATGGTTTTTACTATGTCCAAGTTTGGCAATTTTTCACAATCTTTATTTTTGACTTTCGGAAAAGCTTTGGCAACAGTTAGATAGATCAAACAAAGTGCAATATAATGCAATTTTGCGGCATCTATAGCCAGCCTCGAAAATTTTTTAGAATTATTTTTCTGATGCTATCAAATTCCACTTTTGGTGATGCCAAAAGCCAGAGATCATGAAACGGCGCACAACTAAGGTGTCATTCGATGCAGCTTTTCCTCTTCTTTCTAGTGAGTGTATTTTCTCTCCAATTTGCGGGGTCTTTGGCGATAAAATTTTCATAATTCTTGAATTTGACTCCGCCCGAGCGTGTACACGTAAAATGCAAAATCTTATATTTCGAAGCGGTAAACGCTCATTTGCTTAAATAGTGAATAATCGTAATCGGTTTTTGAAAGCTTCAAAAGCCGATGATTTGTTAGTGTTCGAGGCATTTCTGTATTTTAGAACTTCGCAAAAGTGAAGACTTTTACAAAAATTATCTGCAAAAATATTGAAAAGCCAGATACGCTAAATACGCCAAATAATAGCATTGCATTGCCCTTTGCTTACTCTGTCTGAGGGCTATCGAAGGTCTTCCAAAATTTGGAAATGAAGATTGTGAAAAATTGTCAAACTTGGACATAGTAAAAACCATGGGTTCGAAATTTCGGCGTTTATCTCAGTGAACAAAAGAGTAATCGGCATATGGGCTTGACATTTAGAAAGAGGAGGAAAAGTTGCATCTGGTAGTGCTTAGAGCGTTTCTCTATCTTTGTTCCACGTATTTTTATGACAGGTTGAAAAAACGGACAAAACTTTCGGGACAACCTAATATATAAAGCTGAATGTCTGTTTGTCTGTCTGTATGTCTGTCTGTCTGTCTGTACGTATGTTCCGAATAGAAAATTCCATTTCTGAACCGATCCGGACCAAACTTGGCACGCATACACTTCGGGCCCCGGCGGGTGTCATAGGCTACTTTTCGTCATCGACCGACATCGATTTTATCGATTTTATTGATTTTTTGCAAAGTTTGAGCTACGGGGCTGGGAGTTTGCACAGGGGGGTGGGGTAATCGAGCATGCTAATTACGATTACAATATTAATTTTTGAAATCGTCCATTATTTTTATCGATTTTATCGACTTTTTTGCAAAGTTTGAGCTACGGGGCTGGGATTTGGCACAGGGGGTAATCGAGCATGCTGATTACGGATTCGATATCAGTTTGGCGCTATTCGGCTATTCGGGCATCAAAATTTTTTTGTGGTAGAGCTTGCTCAAACTTCGTATATGGGGGTTATCTTGGCCGGGCATACTTCAAGCGATTTCAATCGCGACGCGATTTGGCAATATTCCAGGTGTCCATAACTCATTGTAAGCACGTTATAAATGTACAGAAGATAGGGCACTTCGTCAGTTTACGTAAGTTATACACACTATGCATGTGCAGTTTGCTAATGTTGGATCCGAAGACTTCTGGCGAATGGCCAAATCGCGTCGCGACTGAAATCACGTGAAGTATGCTCGGCCCTTTACATGCTGATTACAGATATCGCACTTTCTCCGCAAAACGCCTTCCCGCGTGGTTACGAAAGGTGTACGGTAAGAAGTCAAAATCATGAATTCGGCTGGAGTTCGGTCCATATGGCTTATTCACATGCTAATTACGAATATCATCTCTCTCTGCATATTGGGACCTTTTCATAGAGTTGTGGTGGTTATATGGCATGGGGTCGAAAACATAGATTTGCTTTGAACTTCGTCTAGGGTGGTCATTTAGCGCGCTGAACATGAACATCATGCTGATTTCGCAGGATAGTACATTTTCTTGGGTTACGGTGGGTGTAGACGGGTCGAAGTTCCAGATTTGCTCAAAACCTTACCTGTAACGGTTCACAAGTATATCGCTTATGAATATGATGCTTGCTCGCTGTCATAACGCAATAATGAAGTTCAGGTGAGTTGCAGGGTTTGAATGGGCATTTTTCGCTTTCGGGCCAATTTAGATCCCAGACATTCAATAGATGGGGAAACGGTCGTTTTGCATGGCGGTCTCCAGCGCCATCCTGATAACCTGTCCCAACGCGTAACGCACGCGGCAAATCTCCCTCCCCCTGTTTTTGCTTAGGCAAAAGCCGCCGAAGGGTGTCTCGCGCGCGGCAGTGGTCCTATAAGGGGAAGCATTACGGTCGTGGGAAACTTTTATACCACACGAATTGCCTTTATCGTGAGGATTGAGCACATATTCTTGAAACAGCACTTTAGGTAATTTTCTGCCAAGGTTTCAGGCAGGTTCATGATTTTTACCCGCTGCCATGTACCTACCGTAACTCTGCGAAAAGGTCTCAAAACGCAACGAGAGTGTTTTAGACGTGGTCAGAAGGTCGAAGTACTCTAGACCGAGTTTCAGCCAAAACTGAAATTTCGCCCCTCTGCAGTATACCTACCATAACTCAGTGAAATCCCCTCAAAATGCCGGCATGTCAATTAGCCCCCCTCAAAGTTTCAGCAAAATCCATGATTTTAGCTTCTTATGTGTACCCAGCGTAAACCCAGAAAATGGCGCTATCGCGCGAAATGACTACTATATTCGTCATCAGCGGCTTTAATAATCCCCATGTACCGACTTTGAGTAAGATCCATCGTAAAAACATTTTGGGGCCGGATAGCCGAATAGCGCCATCAGTTTTCAGAATTATCCTTACTTTTACCGGTTTTATTGCTTTTTTTGCAAAGTTTAAGCTATGGGGCTGGGGTTGTTGAGAGGTAGGTGGGCATTCTAATTACTAACACAGCGGGAGTAGGGAATTGCATATAGAAGTGGGCACAATGAAAGGTTTTAAGGGATAGGGATAAGACCTTAATCATAGCATTGACAGGGCCGGGCGAAGCCGGGTAAGCCAGCTAGTATATTATGTACAAGGTGTCCCAAAAGTATGTATGCACTGTTTGATCGTTAATATCTCTCTTCCCAAGAAGTCTTTTGCCTTGCTTCAGGTACCGTTTTGTAGAGCTGGTTTCAACTTTGATTTGCATTATAGAAAGTATCATCCGTCTCTCTTCATTACTGTAGGATTACGGTAGAAACTTCAAGGAGGGTTTTGAGCAATGAAAGGCCATATTTTGCCTCAGAAAGGAAACAAAACAGCCTGAAAGCTTTTACACTGAGCTAACTAGAGTTGTTGATTTTAAATGTAAAGTTCCCAACTTATTATGATGCTTCGTTGAAGAGTTATGCCGGGTAAGATGTAGCGGCCATTTTTTCAATGTTCCTAAAAAGTGCGGTGACACCGTTTAGAAAGCTTCGTAATCTTGTGAATAGTATTGGACTCAGCTTCCATAAAAACCCTATTACACAAGTTTTCACACTTTCTTGGAAAATTTTGAATTGGCAGCTTTTTCCACATTGACACCATATGTTTCAAGTTCCTACCGTAATCTTACAGTAACGAAGAGAGATGAGTGATTCGTTCTATAATGGAAATCTAAGTTGAAGCCAGCTCTACAAAACGGTACCCGAAGCAAGGCAAAAGACTTCTTGGGAAGAGAGATATTAACGATCAAACAGTGCATAAATACTTTTGGGACACCCTGTATATTATATTATTGAATATTATGGATTAATGAACACATTGGACTTACATTGATAGGTAGGCTAAGCATGCTTTTGGCAAAACCGACATGTAGATGACAGGTCAATTTTTTTGATTGTGGTAGGACTTGACTTTCTGAAGTTATGACCGACTTTGGTACACGGAAAGAAGCAATATCTTCTTCTGAAAAATGGGTCCGGTGGGTCGCCAAATTTTTGAAATTTTTTAAAATTAAATTAGCCTTGTAAAGAAAATTTTTTTCGGGGTTTAGGGGTTGTGGACTAGCAAAGTTTTTGAGGAGCACCCCAAAAATTTTTTCGGAGTGCGTGGCTAACGCCATGCACCTTCATCTGAAAAAATTTTTTGCCGCCCCCCTCCCCCGCCCGATGCCTAATGAAGTGATATGGCAAACCACAGCTCGCTCAACAGAAGATAGACGCAGCAAAAACTTCTGTAAACCAGCCGAAGACGGCGGCTACACCTCACGGTTCTTCAAGTAGTATCCGTAAAGAAAGTTCTCGAGCGGGCACTCACCAGACAGCACGAAGAGCAACGGAAAGCGCCGGTAGTTTGAAAGTACTACTGCTTACGGGAGGAGCCCATTAGTAGCCTGTCAATATTGTCCTTGAACACTGAAGCTGCGAACAACACAGTGGTACCTATGGGCAAACCCGTCGTGAATAGGCTAAAAAGGCAAGTTATTTCAATCGCGCCGTTATCATCGTCCATCACGTCTTCGATGTGCAACCTCCGGCTAAAGGATTACCAGCTGCAATCGCCAATGCGGCAGTATCAAACAGGAAGTTTTCCTCATCAAGCTCAGACTGCTGCTTGAACACACATCCGCTAGTATGCGGGACTTCCATGAAAGCACCTTTCAAACCTGCTGTTGATGGCACCTCAATTGCGCAATCTTTTGCGGAAACTGCAGAAAATGCTCCACTAACAAGACTAGATCTAATCCTGAAAGAATGTGATTCACACAATGAGGGTAGAATGATACACAAACTGTGGGAGAAGTTGGAATTAGAAGAAGCTGCCAAAAGACAGCACTAAGAAATGGATAGTATGTATCAGAACTTCGAAACGATCGGTAAAGCATGGGACATACATAAAGAATGGACCCGACGCGTTCAAACAAGTGGTCCGAGAGAAACACAAGTGAAAGTAATGGAAAAGATCATAACGACCAGACTGCTATCATGGCTCAATAGGTTTCATGTTATTCCTATAGAACAGCATGGTTTTATTTCCGGTGCGTCTACCACTACTAATTTAACGGATAGTATTTGATTGGGCGTTGGCATTGAACAAGGGAAAGTTTGTTGATGTAATTTATGCTGACCTATCAAAGGCGTTTCATGAAGTTAGCCACGGAAAACTTCTAAGTAACTAAAGTATCTGGGTATAGATGGCAAATTATTGGAATGGATTGCCTCGTACCTAGGTGACAGACATCTGACGGTTAGAGTTGATCATTGCTACCCGAAAAGGCATATATGCACCAGTGGAGTACCTCAGGAGGGTGTCCTCTCCCCACTTTTGTTTCTGCTTTATACAATTAATATGCCAAGTGCTATCATCACGTCTACACATATCAAAGTCAAGTTGTACGCCGATGATATAAAGATCTATAGGATTTATTGGGAGAACTCTCCGAAAGTATGATCCGCTTTGCAAGCATCGTTATGCAAACTTGCAGAGTGGGCCTCTGCTTGGTGCTTACCGATCAATCTTGAAAAATCCTATTCTATATAGGCGGTGGCCAAAAGCAGACGTACAAGTTAAATGGTGTGGACATGAGACAGAATAGTTTCATCTATGATTTGGGTGTTCGTTTCAATGAGTCCTGGATTTCACTGAGCATATAAATGAGACTGTTACCAAGGCATTTGGCTCGGGCTTCCGGATACTTCGAAATGTCCACACGAATAATCCAACGAATATGTTACGACTTTATAAATCTTTCGTTTTACCTAAACTTGAATACTGCTCACAATTCAGGAGTCCGAGTAAAGCTAAACATACTAAAAAGCTTGAAAGAGTTCAGAGAGTTTTACTAGAATTGTAATGAGGAGGTGTACCCCCGATTGTACCGCTCTGAATTATCATGACCGCTTGAACTGGGACTTGGATCACTTGTTTGCAGAAGAGCTAGATCTTACCTCTTGTTTGCTTCAGAGTTCTGAAACGGGAAGTCAAGTTGAATCTCAGCGATTACTGGATCTTTAAGCCTGCTTACGATAGACACGGTTGTTTCAATGTGCATTACCCAATAGTTGAAAGGAAACATTCCAATCTGTTATTCAATCATATTTTTTGTCGGAGAGCTAGATGGTTATGGTGCATACCTCGCGAATCTTTGAGTGGTGACAACTGTAAGCGTTCAAAAGGAAACTGAGGAAAGCTGACATTTGCCAATTGCTGATCAATCCTTTGTGACTCGTTCCCTCTGTTTTCATTACAGGTCTGCTTCCTTCTGGTCTATTTCCTGTTGACCCCCGCTTGTCGACTCATTGTTTCGGACTTTGCTATCCCCACTTCGCTTTTACGACAGCCGCTTTCGTGAAGCCCTTTGCTACTGCGTCGGTCGGCTTTTTCATTTATCGTGTTTACTAACCATGCTTTGCTGGCGTGTCACCCACTTTCGGATGAGCAACAGCACTGCGCCTTGGGACCGTAGACAGCTGCGTTTCATGCATGGCTTATCCAGAATACGGCAGGTGTATCCAAGCGTCGGTGGTGTCAGGTTGGTGGACACCTGGCAGGGACCAATCGCAGAAGTTTTGGACAGCCCGGAAAAGTGGCAGTGGCATTCCCCAATGCCAATCACCTGACCTCCCTTGACCGAATAGAAATTTTTCTTCCTCAACACTAGTCCTTATTCGCCGTTTGTTTGTTTGCTGAAAGGTGACAGGCTAGTATCTTACTCTAGCAACGTTTTCTTTGCTCACACAGGTTTCGGCACACGTTTACGTGTATGAGATAAAGATGACACAGAAAAGGAACGTCATGCACAGAACAGCAATCATCAATTTGCCAGTAAGGGAAAAGCGGACGTGCGAAGACGAGACAAAAGACAAAGCAGTTATGAACGTTTTCCTAGTGTACAATGGCCGGAGCATTTGCAGACATTTGATTACGTCGGTGAACTTGTGTAACCTCTACTGCAGTTCTTCCTTGCAATCTCTAAACTGCCATGTATAAGCTTGTCATACGTAGCAGACTTTGAAGCGAGAGATTACATTATTTTATGCAACGTCTCGCAGAAATGAGAGGAAATTCAGACGTCGCAACCCAGAAGGGAAGCACTTGTGAAGAAAGGCAAGTGAACATTCCATCTACACTCAAGATCTCATATGTAAAAGAAAAGAGACGAAGTTCTACAAAATACAAGAGGAAGCACACAAAAATGAGGATTATGCTTATGAGGCGAAAGGAAATACAAAGCTCGCAGAGCGCAACTAATTTGATAAGAATGAGCGATTCCCAAGTTGTATATACCGCAGAAGACGTCTCGACATGATGAACTGTAAGGGAGTTTGGAAACAGCATTCAGATGCTTGCTTGAAGATGTGTGCTACAGAAGGATTGACGTAATACACGAGAAGGAACCTCGTACCCGATGTGTTGGAGTACTTGTTGGAGAACAAGTTACATCTTCTATTACAAAACGGCAGTGAAGCCAAAGTGCTAAACTACCAAACCAATATCTGCAGGAGACTTGAGAATGTTGACCACCATAATGAGAGCTTGAAGCTTCTGCACTATGCCAAGACGTACAAGGACAAGAAGATGATCTCCAAGCGCAAAGTGATTTTAAGCGAGAAGAAAGGAAGACCAAGAGCGACTAGAGAACGGAACAAGTTAAACCCAGTCCATTTCATCCCTCTTGGCGGGGTCGGAGTGTACGAACTTCGTAAGTTCGTACTGTTCTTCTCTTCCGCAGAAATGTGCAGATTCTTTGCACTCATTTAGTTAAGTAATAATTTGCCGGTTGCATAGCACCGCTGAATTTAGTAGCTCGCATTGTTTTGGCTATTGTGGGAATGTGATATTAGATCGGATTCAAATTCTCACATTTTCTTTGGAATGGGTAAAGGCTCATGCATGCAGCTGCGACCTAATGATGTGGTCTCATGCGTATAAGTAGTTGACTTTACAGTCAGATTTATTCGCATGTACAATTTTCGCCCATTTGCTTTAACATTACCTCACTTATTTATTGTGTCTTCACTTGTCACGCAATTCCTTCTGCAGTTTAGATTTCGTTTGGTAACATCATTTTGATATCTGCTCATCCGTGTTTGTTACTTGTTTTTTGTTTCCATAATAAAGGTTCAGTTGCCCAGTTTGATGTGCGCTCATCCAATCGCTCAAGACCCACGTGGCAGTGCATTCCATTCAAGTGCTCAGCACAATCAAGCTGCCGTCCAAATCAATGCATGAACGGCAAAAACGAGTGCTTAGCCGCTTTGAATGACTTCATGCCGTTTATTGGCATTACTGTCATTTAGACGGTCGCACCATAACATAAGTGCACCGGCGGTGGAGCAAAGGTATCAGTCCTTCTCGACCTGAATTTTTGCTCGTAAAACTCTGAAATGAATCGGGAAGCTAACCGAGGAATGAAGCATTTGGTGGGCCAGACATAAGACCACTAATACTGCATCGCTTCAGGCCTCTGAAGACAATGAGTAGTCGAACAGTTAGACCACGGAGTGAAGCTTCACCCAAATCTCGTGCTGACGAAGCAACAGTGACACAATTTTAAGGATGGTACATAGTTGTATCATCCATTCTCGTACTAAAAGCCTCCTACCCGCTCTGCACACATTGTCAAAACAAGCTTGATCGCGTGGTGACAAGTTCCTACTTGTCATCTACCAGGTCCGGGATTAATTGCTACATGGAGACAGGATTAAGGTCAAGCTTGTTTAGACAATGTGCTCAAAGCGGTCTCGAGTTTCTTAACTACGATTGAATGATATGTGTGACTAGATAATCATATACTATACGTAATTCTTTTTTACAAGATGCCCATTGCTTTATCAAAAATCAACGTCATAGCAAGCTCGAAGCTGATAATCAAAGAAGAACTTGATCATTTCCCACGGAACCTGTGCCATATTCCTTTAGTCTCCTTTCCTGTACGCAGGTCTTCTTCACTGTTGGAATTTTTGATCGTTCCATTTTGAGACTGCGGAGCTGAAATACTACAATGTAGCGTTGAAGGCCATAGAATCTGCAAGGAATCACTGCCGTTGCGATGTTTTACCGCGTCATTGCCGACAAGGGAAAGGTTAGAAGTCGAGGTGGCCAATCTAAGGAAATTGCATGTCGTTGAAAGCAGCATATAATGTCGACTTCAAATATTTCATCGCTTGCCTTCGTGGACGAAGTTGTGAGCCAGTAAACGGCAAAGAAATTGTGCATGTAAAGTGCAAATCTGGATATGCAGATCCACGTTTGCCTTGATGCTGAACCAGAACATGCAGCTAGGTTACTTTATCTGACCCAGTCCAAAGTTGAGCTAAAGGCTAATGCTTCTCATTTCACGATTCATATGTAAGAGTTCCTTATAATAAAGTTGCTCGTAATTTTGTCCTCAAAAGATTTAGCAGCTAGCGAAGACAGATTCGGTAGCGTTCTATGCTGTATAGAATAGTATGCAGCTGGTCTGGATTGGTCATTCGACCTCTAACCATTTCCATGTATAGGCTGCTGCATGACGAAGGCGCAATATCTTTGAGCGCGAACGCGGGTTTGTTGGCCGCAGACCGCATGAGGCGCAGGATTTACAACGGTGAAGATACGCGCGCGACGCGTTTGTGTCCGCTCAACTAATATTGCTTCTGCGCCTTCGTCATGCAGTAGTCCTTAAGCATAGCACACAAAACAGCTTGGCAGCCACGCTCAGCTACACTTGCGTGCTCTTAGATTACGGCGATACGGTCAACTCCGCGCAGTTGACTTCATTCATCTCACTGGCAAGTTGCCATAACTGGGCCATCACCGATGTCGTGCAAGTTTCAGTAAAATGGTCTTGCCGTACCGAAAGCTTGCGCCACGGCGATCGCTCAGTATTGCCTTCTCGTCAGCCAGAGCTTGGGAAAAAGCCGATTGCTAGAACGTATCATTGTGAGCACTCGGCTTTAACGGACTGTATTCGATGTTCCACAACGTTTCTGCGTTATGCGAATTTTAATGGGATACACAGAATGTCTATGGGTTCTACATTCCTGAGATCAAGGTTTGGAACATAATTCGAAAACCAGAGACCGCTATGGAAGTGCACAACTTTCTAGTAGAAGCCTGTAACGATAAGTATCAGGCTTGAAGGCAGTATCCATGTAAGGTTGGGGGTCGTGGGATTTTGGTGCCATGTAAAAGTGATCGCCTTTGGACACACCAACGGACATGCGCGAGATCATGACGTTCAGTTGATCGAAGAAATGGGCTTGGAAATTGGAAAAACTTGTACTCTAATTGGAGAAAATGGTGAGTTTCGGTGTCCAAACTGCTAGAAGAGTGCGCATTTTGCCGTACATGAGATCATAGGGTCCTGCTCCGACTCTGGTCTCAGAGTTTGCGGGAATTGCTCCACTTGCCCCATTCAAACCGAGGGGCTGTAAAACGCCTGTTCTCACCGTTTTCGCGGTTTTAGATGGCTATTGGTCAGCCTAGCGGAAAATCCCAGGTGGGCAAAAAGTTTAGAAATTGAGTTTTTGCCCGAACACTGCCCTCAGTTTCGAGCATAGTAGGCCAAAACAGCACTTATTCTGCTGTTCTTTTCAAAGTAATTGCATAGTTCTAAGTGGAATTTGACATGGTGAAGACGGAGAATTGCGCTTTCGAGGTAGAGGATCCTATGTCACCAAAAGGCTCGGTCCGCGCGGACATCTGTCACTAACCATGCTAAACACATTGACTCCTACCAGCTGCCTTCGGCAGGGGAGCCCGGGAGAGACGGCCAAGAGGCGCACTTTCTCTCTCAATCGGAGCCATCGACGACTCCAATTTTTTGTAGCGTTTCCCGAATTAATACGCTCTTTTGGATGGCCAATTGACTAAATGGGGACAATGCACAAAATGTAGTAAGACGCCCATAATCGAAACCTTGTGGTTGATTTCAAATAGAACAATCAGTTTTCGAAATATGAGAGATGTCGTGTATCGAAAGCTTAAAACGGATTAATTATGGAAACATACTCACGTTGACACTGTGCAAGATAACGTAATCCGCTGAGAAGTAAGCGAAAGCCGTCTGGATCTCTGTCTAGGAAGAACTGAAAAAACATTTGATAAACGGAAACGACTAAAAAGTGCATTGATAGACATTATTAGCCCAGATTGGACAATTGATATTGTTAGGTATGAAAGTAGAAGATTATGTCAAGTTATCTAGGAGAATGTAGAGAATTCGGCACTGTGAACGTCCATATCAACCCGAGTTTGGCCATGAACATCGATTCCTTCGAACAACTAACTAACAACCCGAATCGGACGCTTACGCATGTCAAGATATCCAATCCCGACCTTAACCGTCTTCAATGCGTATGCCCCAACATCAACCTACGACGAGGACGAGCCTGAGGTTTTCTATATAGACTTGGAGAGGTTGCACAGAGAGGACTACACCTTCTACAAGATTATTGTCGGAGACTTCAACGCGAAGATTGCAGCTAGAGGGTCGCCCGGGAAATTTCTACATTGGGGCCCATGGAGTACAGTAGGATAAACAAGGTGGAAGACTGATCATTATGACGATGAGGACCACCCATGGTAACTCACGATTCCAAAAGAACATTTTGCGACTCTGGACCTAGGAATCGCCTGGCGGAAAGTACATTTCAAAACTAGCCACATCGTCGTCAACAGAAGTTATATCCTGACGAATGTTTCCGTTGTCCCGAAGTTCTTCAGGGGATCAGACCATTGCCTCCTACTCGCCAAGTCTTAGTTTTTACGGAATAGAGAGAGAGTCGTTAGGTTCAGTCCACAATCACCTGGGAACCGTTTTCTTTGATATCCGACTTTGGCGAGATACCATGGACAACATGCTAGAGAAGCACAGAGTCCGAAAATCAAAAGAAAAGATCTTTTGTCTTAACTGGAGCTGATACGCCAGTGTGAACGAGCACGAGCCACAGTCGACTACCAAATGATGTCCGAGCTTGCGAAGCGTTGAAAGAGGATCGTGAACGTGAAGAGTAGCAGTAAAGTTGACTCCGCGGAGGCTGGAAGAAGTATACACCACCACCAGCCGAAGTTTTGTCATTTCAAGACCAAGGTGACCGCACTTCGCCGCCCTAACGGCATAACTGATTCTTGGAAGTCACTGGACAAGTTCATCCATAAGTTCTACTCGGACCTCACGCTTACCTGCCTTCAAGTCACGATTACGTCAACCGCCTGTTCTTCCTTCCGAGACTCGTCAATCTATCATGTCGATAAAGACGTGCAGGCCCAGCCAACAGGAACAAGCCAGTACATCTGAAGGATCTTTTACCGGTTCTCATCCGGACTTTGTTCAAAGCTTTTGCTCTGCGCAACAACTATCGCTCCATCTGCCTGTTGTATGTAAAGTCGCGTAGATTCCCTGTTTGATATAGTGTTCCTGCAGACGCAACAACGCTTGTGGGTCAACGAGTTCGTGTGCTAAAGACAATCAGCCAAACGTAAAAACCCACTAGTGTCAAAGAAATGCTTCACGAGAAGGCATGAAATGACAAAAATAAGCGTGAAACTGACGCGACGTATAGGCGATGCAGAGCACGCAAAGACTGCGCACGTATCGGCGTCTCTCCGAGCACTCTTTCATTTCTCTTGCTATCTGCGTCTCTCGCATGCATAAACTATCTTGGTCGGACATAACGGCGCCCAGTTTGCGTGTCATGAATCCAGTACACCTTCCATGCAGATACTCAAGAATAAGCGATAATATAACTGCTCAGAAAACAAAAAACTACTTTCTAGATCAACTTCTTCTCCTTTATCAGTAACGACTTACCTGAAAGCAAATAATAAGTAAAGAAATCACTAGAAAAAACCAGGGCCCGGCACGAGGTCGGCAAATGACAAGCTGGAAATCGTTTTGGGGCCAAAAAGCAAAGGGGAAATCGGTTTTGCGGGGTCCGGGGCGGAGCCCCGGAAAAAAATTGGTAGTTCATGCTCGCTACTTATCTTGACATGTTATGTGCCTCAACAGGCGAACACTGGAGTTCGCGCGCGTCAAACCGCGCCGTCGCTAATTGCCGCACGCGCGACGTCGCCCAAGAGATGCTATTTGTAATTGCATACATGACTAGTTCTCAATGTATGTGTAACGATATGGCACCAAATTTTGTATGCGAACGGAGAGAGGCTAGTGGAAACGTATGAAAAATTATGAAAAACTTATGTGAACGGAACGAGTAATTAGCATTTTTTCCGAGAATTTCGCAAAACTGGTAAATGAAGATGTGAATTCAAACGGCTCGTTTGGAACGCGCAGATGAACGATATGGTATGAAACTTGGTGAGTACATGCACACGGGCTTGCAGGGCTTAACTGAGGAGTTTCATTGAAAAATTATGTGATTGAAGGTCGTGGCAAACGTTTTTCTGAAAATTTTGCGCTACCAAAGAAATGGAAAAATGGCTCGTTTGCAACGCAGAGGTAACGAAATCGCGCGGGTTTCGGTGTGTATATGCGCAATAGGACTAAGTAATAAAGTATGAAATATTATGAAAAACTTATGTGAATGAAGAGCGTGCTTAACTAATTTCCAAATTAGGTCGGCATTTGCCGACCTAATTCCCACCTGAGGTCGGCAAAACTCTCAATTCACATAATTTTTTCAAAATTTTTACATAAATCTGTTGTACACCTAAAGTTTACTACATGGTGAAATTTTGGTTCCGAAACTCCTCCTCTTGTCCTTGTTAGAGCCCAAAATCGCATCAGCAGCCTAGCTTTCTAAGATAGAAAGCGCGCCCCAGTCAATCGATACGCGCGGGAATGGCGTCTCTCATTCCTATGACTGCGTTTCTTTGATATTTTCTCATTCCTTAATCATTTTCTTGCTTATTTTTCTTCCTGTTTTCTATTTTGATACAGCTGAGGAGTAATTTGAGGAATTTGAGCAATTTGGGCGTTTTTGAGCGCTTTTAGGCGAAGTGTGGTCGCTAATCTCGTCGCACAAGCACAAAACGTCATTTTCGGGCTCAAGGGGGTATTCGTAAAATTTATTGGGATCAAAGGGGAATTCGTTTTGGAAAACCCCGTTTGCCCACCTCGTGCCGGGCCCTGGAAAAAACTCGCACGCAGTGGCAATTTGTGACGCTCAAGCGTTGTCGCGTCTGCAGGGACGCTATATTATGCAGGAAAGCTACTCGAATGTAGTCTATCAACTCTTTACGCGAGTCGTTCTCGATAGAATCGGAGGAATGTCAGATGAAAGGGCCACTATGCGAGCAAACTGGATTTGGAAGAGCATTCACTATGAGAAAATACATGTAGACATTGTCAAGGCCTCGAAGTATCACGCTTGGTTAAATGAAGCCGTCATCGATGCCTTGAGCAGATGTTCCCACTCAGTACGTCGAGGTCATTCGTGAGCTATACAATGACTTCACAACCAGCATCACACCATTCTACAAGGTGATCATCATCGAAGTGAAGAGAGATGTACGACAAGGCGATACTGTATTGCCGAAGTCATCTAAACCCCTTTGAGAATGTTGTGCGGACATTAGAATGAGACAATGATGATCGACGGACGGCAAAACTTCACTACCTTCGCTTTGCTGAAGACACCGTATTGATAAGAATAAGCATCACCCTGGCGGAACGAATGCTAATCTATTTTGGCGAAGTGTGTGGAAGGGTTGGTCCACGGCTACAACGAAGACGATGTTTATGAGGAACGGAAAACTGCGTGATGCTCCCTTCATGTTTAATCGGGTGAACATCACCGATTGCTCAACTACAACTACGTAGATCGGAAACTAAATATGATGAACGATCTAACTTTGGGACTGAGCAGGACGTAATGTGCAGCATAGGGAGCACACTAGACAATTGAGCACCTAGTGAGAAGACCAAGAACATCCGACTTCGCACCCACCTCTTCGACTAGACGGTCCTTCTGCTTTGACGTACGCTGAACATAGACAATGAAGGAGCAGGATGAACACGTGGTTAGCGTCATCAAACATGCTATTGACAGAGTGATGTTAAGTGTGAACCGACTTACGCAAGTGAGGAAAGGAACACGAAGTTCCACCCTACGTCAACCATCGAAGAAATCAGGGACGCTGCTGCATATAAACGGAACACTCTTGACGACAATTGGTGAACAAAATCTGTGACGGACTGGACACCACGTCAAATGTGAACGAGTACGATCGCCGACGCCATGTTCTATGCTTTAAAAAGTCTCACAGAGCGTTTCACGTGTTCCTGGCCATAAATCGCACGCAACAGGGACGAATGATGGCATCACTGGCCCGCTCGTGCAACACGACGATCAAATTGGATGCAGGTGAAACAGGTGATGTATATATTATATGATTGGCTCACACACTGCCGCGAGGGCGGCGGCAATGATCAATCAATTTATCGACTTTTCCTCAACACTGGGTAACCGCACTGCCGATACGAACACGGCTCCACGCTCGCGACAACCTTTGAACCGATGATATATACGCAGATGTGTGGATGGAGACTATGGGACGCACGCATTGACATGCACGGGAGTTCGCAGCTCAGAAAAGCTTCATATCCTAAGCTTCAGCTATCTGGGTTTCACATTGTCTTCCTATCCGTAATTCTTCCTGCTATGCCTCACTTCAAACATATTAAACAGGAGCGAGAAATTGTACAAGTTGCATTTCCCAGCTTATTGAATGATTCCCTGATGACCCCTGGTCGTCATTTCTTCAAACTCGTTTTTTTTTTCGAAGTCAACGAAACCATTCCAAAGATGTACTGATTATCTAACCCAACAGTGCTAAGCATGGTGCTGATAAGAACCATTGAGTCAGTGAGATATCAAAATTTTTTGGTAAATCCCAACTTTCGACTTGTAATTTGCGCAAATTCAATGATTCCGATACATTGATCGTTCTTATCAGAAGCAAGCTTACCACTGTTTAGTTAGATAAACAGGAATTGGCGAGTTTTCATTAACCTTGAAGAAACAGAAATGACCTTGAAGAACAGACGGTCGGCCGCCGTTGATCAGAAAATTGTACAAAAAGCTGGGAGATGCAGTTTGTAAAGCTTCTCGCTCATGTTCGATATGTTCATAGCGAAGCGTAGGAATACTTAGGTATGGATAGACAGCGTGAAATCCAGATATCTGGAGCTTCAGGATGAGGCTTTCTTTTGAGACAGAAGCCAGTCTCAGTAACCTCCTTACTCGTTTATTACATTCGAACCAGTGTATGTTACCATTGTAGATGATAATGAGTTTGTTATATGTCGTGAGCACATGCATTTTATATAGCGATCATGGGACTGGAGCTCTGAATATGCAAATCCCATGTATTGAGTTCATGACTTTAATGTTGGGTGGGTAATTGTGCTAACTCTTTACTGCTTCGATGCTTATTCTCTTTCAACCGACGGTACACCATATATCCCGGCTAATGCTCATTTACCTGGAATCAAGCTCAGAATTGAATTTTGATACTTAGGAGGTTCCTGTGCAACGCAGCACGTTCATCTTATATGCCTAACTTACCGCTCCTTCGCTATCTTTTGGCGGGGGTGGATCTGCTGCATCAGGTTCCAGTAGAGCTATGAACTGTGGATAGATCTCATTGGTGCGATCTACTAGAAGAGTTCCGAGGTAAGTGTCGAATCTGAAGTAACAATACAGAGATGTGCGTTGTGCATACATCGGTAGACAAAGTAAATTGGAGGAAAGCAAACAAATTTTCACTCTCATATCAGTGGATGTTTCAGAAAAGAGGTAGAGGATTAAAACTATGATGGATGGATTGATTAAGATCTGAAAACATTTGTGATAACGCAAACCGTTGCAACTTCGGTTTTCGAAAAGTGGAGAAAGCTTGCAAGAGTATAAGGGGACGTTTGCTAACATGACTTAGATAGCGTCGGCTATGGGTGTCAGTAAGTAAAAGTAGAACCTCAAAAATTTCATGAAAGGGAAAGGGCGTGTTGATCGAAGTTACTGCGATGAAAAACATAGAGGATTGAATGAAGCAAGGCTCAGATTGGATGTGCTGAAAAACTCGACTTCATTTTTGGGGCTAAAAAGGGGCCTTGTGAAACATGTTGGATATATATTTATACCACTGGCACACCGACCCCCCCCCCCCAGAATGGGTCGCGAAATTTTTCAAAGTTGTGACTTGCATATACTTTGAATAATTGTAATTTTAGAAGTTCTTGAATAATTGCTCTGAAATTCGGGCTATGGCGCGAAAATTTGAAAGAGATTTTTTCTCAGAGATTTTTCGAAGTGCGGGGCTAACGCCACGCACCTTCATTCAAAAATTTTGCGTGAATAACTAACATGCTCTCATTACGTCTTCAAGCAAGAGAAATTCAAATATGTTAACCACTTCCTTGTTCAAGTTCCTTGTTTACGTTTGACAGATGTACCTAACTTGGACCACAGTATGCAACACTCCTGACACTATATTATGTTAAAAACCTTGGAAATTGTATGTCGTAATGTTGTATTGTTGTTTGCTATCGGATTTGGGTGTTTCAGAATCACACCAAACCAGCTCGTTGGTGCGGAGCATAAACGAGGAGTTCTCATAGTTTGTGAATCTACTAGAAATATTGCGCGTTCAAACATCTACCATATAGAAAGCAAACCAAACCGCGCCTCTCTTCTTTTTTTTATGGCCGCGCAGTTCTGAAATAATAAGCTGATGAATGCTGAGCCCAAATACACAAGTGAACGAGTGTCTATAGATGGTAGTGAGTTAAGACTCATTCATGGTCATTTCTTTTGCAGTACGATTTGCGTCGCAAATAGAGGCGCAGAGAAATGGATATCATTACATATATGTTTTATCATCTTGTTAAGCTAAGGGAATGTTTCCTAAACTTCTCTCGATAAATTTCGTAACACGTTGGTGTTCCTTTTTGCCTGAACTCAAAAGGGAAGGATATCAACATTAGTCGGCGTTTGAAGATGAGATGTATATAAATAGACGCGCTTTTAAACGCTGGTTCCAAATCTGCCTTCCTTTTTTGCGGAACTGCTTTTCGAAAGAAGTTATGAGCGTTTGAATGTCCAAATTTGTCAAGGTTCAGGAGGTCTAAAATTGGCGAAAGACTGTACAAAAACACCACCGGAAAGTGAAAAATCAGTTTTGTATCGAGTATATTGTTTACAAGAAAGGAACGAAGCCAGTGGAAATCACATAGGTATTGTTTTAGAGCTTTTCGTTGATTTTAAGCCACTTTAAGCCCAACCTGACAAATTTGCATTCAAACGCTCATAACTTCTTTCAGAAACCTATTCCGCAAAAAGGAAAGCAGATTTGGAATCAGCGTACAAAGGCGCGTTCAACGATATACATCCCATCTCCAACCGCCGACGAATGTTGGTATCCTTCCCTTCTCAGTTCTGAAAGTTATAGATGTTAGGGTTATTGATGCTCAATTTTTGTAGCATCGGTTAGATGTTAGAGTTATTGATGCTCAATTTTTGTAGCATCCATCCCGTTTCATAATATTTTGGAGTAGACATCATATTGCGCGAGGTCATAGGGGACTTGGTTTTCAAGTCCTCGTAGAAAACACGTGCCGGATCCTCAGACGGAGATGGGCTAGTGAGAGGAGATTGAACAGGGGATAACGAAGTAATACAAGATTCGCAACTGAGCAAATACTCTAATATCATTCATGTCAGCCTTTACTTTATCTGGAAAGTGAAAGGCTATACCTCCTATTTTAACCTTGAAAGACGTCAGAAAAATAGCAGATGTTTTGCAGAGACTTACTCCTTCAATGCGTTTATTCACGAAATGGGAGGAATATAACGCTACTTATGGTCTGGAAACATATGTAAATCGACACTTACATCAAAAATTTCGTGAATATTTTTGAGATTTATGATGCATAAAACGTTGAATCAAACGTCGATTTCGAAATTGATTACATTTCATCACCAAGTATGGGCGGTTCATGGCGCACACAGACTGGAGGCAGTTGCGTCCGACTAAGACAGTTCGTGCATGGGAGAGACAGCAGACGAAAAAAGGGATGAAAAAACGCTCTTTCGAGACGCCGACGTCCGTAGTGACGCCCTGTCTGTGCGTGCGATGAGTCGCCTACATATGTGGGCGTAGCGAGTACACAATGACCTTGGGAGAAGCTTGCTTAGGTACTATATTTGCTGCAAAAAGATTTTTTATAAAATCGGAGCACTACACCCTTCACACAAACAAACTGTTCGTAACTCTCAATTTCAAGAAAGTGAAGCAAATAATACTCAAAAGGCTAATATTAACTCTCTACTAGATGGGTAAATAGCATCACTCTTATCAGCTGGAAAAGTTTATTATAAATAAAGTGGACACGTATTGAAAAACTGAAATACTAATATTTCCCACCTTTGCCCACCAACATTCAGCCGGATGATATCTTCGGGTTTGTACTTGATCGACTCCTCTTTCATCTCTAAAACGGACAAAGTTGTTGTAAAAGTGCAAAATAAGTAAGCCTACCAAGGCGTCACACCTATCATCTTTAGATGAGCACAAAAGCGGAGGATCGGAAGTGATTGCAAGAAGACGTAACTACCACTTATGAAGGAACAGAAGGGGCGTGTTTAGAAAGTAGGAGACATTACGAATGCTTTCGTGAATGGGTGAGAAAGCTCGGGGTGACGCAGCAGTTCACAAATATGTCTGTGCGAACTAGAACTCTTGGAAAGCTATTCTCACACGATTTGTTGCAATGATTTTAACGAATGTCTATGCAAACGACCATCGCTGACATAATTTTTGCATTAAAATACAGCGACAGTGGCTTGTTCTGTGGGTGAACAGTTATAGTCCACATAAGTGAATCTCGAGTGGTCACGATTACGGGAGAAGAGCAAACAGAATCACCTCTTTGCGCGATATTTTGGACACAAAAGTAAGCGAGGAAGACCGATACTAATATTTCTAAGAATAATCTTCCTGTGTACAAGATTGAAAATATTAGGTGGGGCCGAAAATTCGTGCCGTTTCTGAACCAACCCGCAAATTTTTTAGTATAGTGTGAACCAACACTCTACGAATTATTCGACGCAGAATTTCTTGATTTCCTAAACAGTAATGATTTCGAAGGACTCCTTGACACACGCGTTCAGTGATCGACATTGTTTAACCATCGTTTTTACTCTTCTCGAAATTTTGTATTATCTTCTTAAAAAAGCGTAGGTAAATAGTAGATACAACAAAGTTTTTGCAATGTATTCGTTTTTTTTATCTCTTTAGCTCACGTAATCTCTACACATTAGTTCTTGAAATGTCTCAAAAGTTCAGGCACCATTCGATGTATCTTTTCCTTCTCTTTTTTGTAGTCATTTTTGTTCGTGATTTAAAAAAATGTTTACGAAAAACTGCCGTTCTCATGAATTTTACAGGTGCTTAAGGTCGGTACCAAAAATTTTCGAATCTTGGCATATTACTCAGACAATTCACCGGAACTTCCGCAGGACAAGCAGAACTTGCAGCGACTCCGCAGCACTTTCTTAACCATTGAGAAACATGCTTCATTATGCGGGGTTCTACAGGAAATTGACGCCAGTGCGATCGTAAATCGGAACTTTCGCAGCAATTTCCATAAAGCGCTGCGAAAATGCAATAAGGCTTGTAAAGTTTCCGCAGCACTTTGACTGCAAGCATTTCCGCAGGATTCTGAGAGCGCGTGCGCTTGCAATTGCGAAGTAGCGAACACATCTTCAGCAATCAACAGCGCGTAGCTCATTGCCCTTTTCTTCCCTATTGTTTCGCTCCTGTTTCTCTTCTTTTCTTTCTCTTTTTTCTTTGTTTCTTCAATGTTTGCGTAAGTAAACTTATATTTATCCATATTCTAAGTACTCTTGCAGGTATCGGTGCAGGTATGTGAACAACCATCACCAAGCTGCTGGAGTGCTTGAAAAGGTCTCAACGGAGGGGCTTTATTCAATTACAACGCATTTGTTCAGGTATGTCCAATTTCTTTGCTTTTTTGCTTTGGTTAAAGTAATACTCAGATAATATGAAACTATTAACTTTGTAGAAATATGTTGGATGTTCAAACAAAGCAGAAGTAACTTGGTAGAATATTAGGTTGTCCAGAAAGCACCAAATTCAAAAATTCATAACTTCTGGGCCGGTAGTAATCTACCCTACTTGGCGGCATCAAAGATGCCGCCAAGTTGGCACACATCAGGAAAAGTTGCCATCTTCGGCGGCAGCTCGCGGAGTGATTGTAGGTTTTAATAATATAATATCTTATATATTAATAATATCTTATTTAAGCTTAATACGCAATCATTTCGCACATTAAATTTTGATGACGCAGACAGCCGCAAAACTGCTACCTCGCGCGCAGTCGAACTTAAGTGTGTTAACTTCAAGTGCCCCCACGTTAACCATTCGACCATTCGGTCACTCATTGCCGACTGCACCAGCAATAGGAGGAGCGCACTGGTAAGTGGCCGCCTGTAAGAGGGATCAATACATTGCGTGAGAGACTTTGATCTGAAAGAACAGCTGATTGATATGAGGAGATAGGGGCGAAATCGGTGCAGAGGGCATTTAGAAGGGACTGCCAAAAAAGATGGTGTTCTTTATGGTTTTAAGGCATTAGTAGATTTTTCTCTTTGAGAAAATCGTTGAATTGAAAAAGAAAAACTCACATAATGAGGAAAATGATAGTTTTTTGATGGAAAGTAGAATTTTTTGATTTTTTTGCCTGACGCAAATTGTGTGAGATCGCCGCAATTCGCAAACCTGCAGACGCCGCCAGCAAGGTGCCACCACCTCGACATGGTAGGGGCACGTCCGGATGGTGGCACCTTGATCTCTCAAAAGAGCACGCTATTTTTCGTACTCTCTGACCTGGCGGCATCTCTCAGCGCTGAAATTTCGACGAGATGCCGCGAGGTCAGCTCGCGAAGTTGCCGCCAGCACTTCCTGCCTTCCCTTACAAATCTGTTTAGGGAGGATTTTAGCACCTTTAGTTGCCAGGTAAGGTTCCTCAAGGTCACTATGACCTCCTCGACCAGAAATACGTGTTGAAAAGGGCTGGGAGGGCGCAAATTCGAGCTCGATGTTCACGCCGATCTCACGTAAAGACGCCGCCGACTTGACGGCGAAACATGCCGCCAGGTCGGGGGGATTACTACCGGCCCTGACTTTTCCGGCGCATTTCAAGGGTTTTACTTTTTTTTGGAAGTGTAAATCAAGCTCTTCATAACGGTACTTTAGTGGCTTACCAATGACCATTTGTTGCATAGATAGGAGCGACAGAAGAAAATGACCCAAATTTTGGATTTTCTTTGTAGGGTCAGAAAGAATCTGAAACTTCCAATAAAAATCAGAGCGGAGGGTCTGACAGGTTTTGTTACCTGCTCTTGCTAAGTGATCAAAGTTTGTACTGATTGAAGGTCTCTATCAAAAGTTATGATTTACGAGCAAGCAATACATAAAGGCAGATTTGATTTATTTCTGCATTTTTCTTGAAAATCATAACTTTTGATAGAAAATTCAATCAGCACAAACTTTGATCAGCTAGAAAGAGCAGGTAACAAAACCTGTCAAGCGGCCGCTCTGATTTTTATTGCAAGTTTCAGATTTTTCTGACCCTACACAGAAAATTCAAATTTGGGTCATTTTCTTCTGTCGCTTCTATCTATGCAACAAATGGTCTTTGGTAAGCCGTTGAAGCATCCTTATGAAGAACTTGATCTACGCTTTCAAACAAAAATAAACCCTTTGAAATCGACTGAAAATATCAGAAGATATGAATTTCTGAAAATGGTGCGAACGAACTTTCAGGACGACCTAGTATTTTCCAAATAATTCCTAAAGATTCAACATCATGTCTGTATAATACCTCTCATTTACACACGTCTAACTTAGAAAGTCACATATTTTTTGCCTGGAAATTCTGAAATATTAGGTCGAGCTAGAAAGCCTTGATTCTCTTTGCTGAAAGTTCCACAGATCTTCAAATCTGTCTCAAACCTTTTTTTTTGTTGAGACTTCAAGACTTCCGAAGTTTTTCAATAAATTGTCCAAACTTTCTCTACATCTTAGCGAAGAAGTTACAAAATGAAACATTTGCGGCAAAGCGCGATTTACATTAAAGATTTCAATTATTTCTCATTACAGAAAGGAAAGGAGCCCGAAGTCGGTTTCAATCGCGCGGACAAGACCAGAATGACATCCAATAAGTGGAAACGAGACATTTTCCCACAGGACCATCTTCTCCTTGGAGCGCATCTTATCCCTGTAAATGAAGTGGTTATCTTTGCCTATATCTTATTCTTCCATTTCTTCCGTCAGTATATCATTGATTTTCACTTCTTAATATCTTCCTATTTTCCACTTTATTCGGTTATGCATATAAGGGTGTCCCAAAAAAATGTGCCTGCTGTTTGATTGTCAATAACTCTTTACTGTTTGATTATTAATAACTCTTTTGTAGTGAAGTCTTCCGAAAAGCTTTAGGTACCATTTTGTAGAGCTAGATTCAACTTGTTTACAGATAGAACAAATCACCCATCTCTCTTCATTACTGTAGGATTACGATAGAAATTTTAAAGAGGGTTTTGAGCCATGAAAAGCCATATTTTGCCTTCGAAGTGAAATAAAAGACCCAAAAAACCTTGTACTGGGCTACTTAGAGTTGCTGATTCAGAATGTGAAGTTCACCACTTATCATGATGCTTCATTGAAAACTTATGCGAGGTAAACAGTAACGGTCGTTTTTTGAATGCTCCTAAAGAGGGCGGTTACACGGTCCAGAAAGCTTCGCACAATCTTACACATGGTTGAGTATTGAACTCGGCGTCCACGAAAACCCTACTGCACAAGTTTTCAGATTTTTTTTTGAAAATTTTTAAAATGGCAGCTTTTTTACAGTGACATCATATACTTGAAGTTTCTACCGTCTACAGTAATGAAGAGTGATCGGTAATTCGCTCTATGCTATACTATAAACCTAAGTTGCAGCTCTACAGAACGGTACTCAAAGCTTCTCGACAGACTTCATTACAAGAGAGTTATTAACAATTAAATAGGCACATTCTTTGGGACACCCTGTATATGGTTGATATTGATTATTATTTCATATAATGCTTCTATAATTTCGAGTGGAGGACTATATGTCGCAGAATTTGGAAGAGTCCCGCGCGGATTCCCTGCAGGAACGCATGCCCGCGCATGTACAAGGGTGCGTATTTGTCGCAAATGACCGCGAGGACCGCCCTTTTTCGGCGACATATAGACCTCCACCCTATAATTTCATGTGTATTCATTTAAGAATACTTCAGTTTTCTTCATCGATTGTCTGCCTTATTGATCTGTTAATGTGCAGTTATCACGGCCTATTGAGATTCTATATCGTGCCTGCATGAAACAATACATTGCACCATTTGCTTTTTCGATAAAGCTATTTCGTCGTCTACTTCTCTTAGCATCTCGAAAGTTTAAAAGAATTTTTCCATCAGAGTAATGTTGACTTGGTAAAAAGCGAAAAAACTAGCATTTCAAAATGAAGCTTGATTCGGAAAAACGGATCGCGAACCAAAGGCGGACCGCAGTGTGCTGCGAAACCCCAATGAAAGTGCTGCGGAAACCTTCCTCACAGGTTGCAGCGGTTCCGCAGCACTTTCGCTGGGTTTCCGCAGGTTGACCCGGCGGAAGTGCTGCGAAAGCGCTGCGGAAGTTCCGGCCTGCTGTCTGAGTTAGAGGATAAAGCTCTCATGAACACTCTAAATTCAGAGCGTTTTGATCCGGTTTTGAAAGTTCCAATTCCATATCTATATGAACCATTTAAAATCATGAATTATGCATCTTTTCAAACTCACGACTTTAGAAGATATGTTGAATAATTCTCAAAGGTCAGCTGGAGAGATGCGAAAAAAACACTGCGAAAATTTTGCTCTATCCACCGATTACTGGAGGTTCTTCAGAAGCGTAAAATACAAATTACAAAGCTGAACAAAATAAAAATGATAGATTGAAAACATCGTGGATCACTGAGCGTGTGTCAGAGGATCCCTATGACGCGCGCTCAGCTGTTTGAAAGAGCAAATAACTTTGCATCGAATGGTACGTACAGTGTCAGTCCATCTTCGTTTTAGTGACTCGAGGATTGGGATAAGAAACGGCATGAACTTCCAAAGCGCTCATTATACATATACCAGGTTTCTATGTAAAAACTTAAAACTTGTGCTTGGTTGCTTCTGGCCTAAACCAGATTTATGTGGCCTGAATGTGAAGAGAATGCAGCCACACATTTATTGCAAGAAATCATCGAAATTTTCCATCGAGATTTTTTGTGCGGCTTTAAATGCTGTTTCAAAAATGTGAAATATAGAACTGAATTCTTTATTGGGTCGCTGCATTACGCCCAGTTTCTAAAGACCATTCGTAATGTCTCTTTTCCTATCGAATCCCCACCGTCAGGTTTTATCCGCTGTGTGCATTTTGAGCAACTTTTGCTGAGCTTGAAATCTGCAGCAAAGGTTCAGTTTATTCATTAGCAAGTTTGATGATCGCCAAGCCTAATGTAGCTATTGCTGCCCTACATTTCTTTGACGAGGCGCTACTGCGTGCTAAGATATGTTCAAAGTGCAATTGAAGTTCCTTAGTTCGCCTGTTGCTGAGTTTATAGCGCTCGTAGAACAAGTTACGGTTCTTGGACTTTGGTTTCCTGTTTTCTACTCCTATATCTGCCTCACTAAGTTCCTTGGTATTTATTTCTCATTCGAATATAGTGTACAGCGATGTGTGATATGTACTATATACAGCGATATGTACTATATACATTTTTATTTATATAATTTCATGTAAAGAAGTACTCATAAAGACAAGGTCGGAACTGCGCTCGCTGTACTCTGCTGTAGCAACAGAAACCCACTTTGCTCTAAACATGAGCAGACCTGGGCCCATCGCTGCGACCGTGCCCCGGGAAGCGGTTGTCTCAGGCCGCGGGCATACCTCATGCGATTTCAGTCACCACGCAATCTGGCAAATTGCCAGATGTCTTTAAATTTAATGCTGGCAGATTCCAAATGCCCAGCAAGTATAACTTTGTAGGCTGCTAAAATGCCCTATCTTCCGTACATTTAAAAACCCTTCACGAAGAGTAACTATTGGAGTATTGCCAAATTGCGTCGCGATTCAAATCGCGTGAGATATGCCCAGGGACAAAGGGATCGGCCATACCTCGTCGCCGCGCGATTTCTAATTGCTACGATTGTTGATAATCTTCCGTAGGCACATACTACGTAAGCAAAAATTGGCACGTACGCATAAGCTTACAAAGGTATGCGGCTACGCACTAGAATTCCACTCGCGGCAGATTTGCGGACATATTGCGAGATCGCGTGTCGACGCTTTTGGAGAAATCGCGCGAGGTATATTCGAAGCCTTATTATTCTCGCAGTTAACGCGCCTCATGGTACGAATTACTTGAGCGCGTGTGCCTTTAGAGCCATCAGGGTGCGGCTTATACACGTAAAAATAGGGTACTCTCAATTTGTTTAAGGACAGTTGTAGAACGAGTTAGGTTGCCCAAGCGCCACTGGCCTCAAGATGGACGTAGAAACTGTGGCATGCAGCTTCACACACCGTAAGATCTTAAAGAATAAGAGAATATCAGACAGTCTTTCTCTTTTTGGCACTATAGAATATCTGTGCCATACCAATACGAGGCTGCTGGGGGAGGTGGGGGGGGGGGGGTTGAAAAGCTCAACCAAACGCATTGCTTGAGGTAGATCTACACATCTACTTCAGATTTGCTCTTATCTGCACTATAGTCGGTGAATCGAAAAGAGCGCAAAAGTGACCAAAAAGGTTTTACAAACGCTCGCGATGGTGGATGGACATTTGGATTGTTGCCATAAGCAGCTCGAAATGGACCCATAGAGAGGTCAACGAGGAGACTGCAAAAAATCTGTTGACTGCTAGTAGACCATGGATTACTACTTCAAGGATTCCGTTTTACTTGACAGTGTGAGCAGGGAAATAGCTCTAACATGATAATCACAGATGACGAGTGTACCCAAGTTAGCTATCAAAGTCGAGTCTTTTATGAGGACCAAAGACACGAAAGCATTGATGAAGACAACCTTGTCTGTCGATAGAGGTGAAGCATACAACAATATCATTGGGATATCGTAATTTTAAACGTAGAGTTTTTGAAATGTGGTTGAATGTGGTTTTTCGTGGCATTTGATCGTGAAACACATGCTAGTCTTGGCAATGAAGTCCTCATTCGAATTTGCGACTTCGAATAGTAATGGTAGAAGAAACACGAGCACACGTCTGTTTTACGTCTGACGATTACGATTGGACATGGAATGGGATCACTCTATTTATTATCAAAGCAATAAAGAGCTTTGCTTTCTTTATCGAAAGGCCTCTTTCGTTGTTCTTTGTCTCAAATTGGCCACGATGGTAGACATGATTATATCAGTAAAAGTAAGTGAAAGTGAGTGAAATCATCCGTGAATGGACTGGTAGGACTAGCAAAGAAAGTGTTTTTTAGAGTTCTTGCGCTTGTAAAAATAAGTTGTGTTAGTCCTCACTAAGTTCGCTATAGGAATTATATCCGCCCAATAATCTGCATTGTTTGTAGAAAAAATCTTTCAGCTATCGGCAAAGATTGTTACGACCGCAACGACGCAGCAATGGCAATGACTATTCTTAAGAATTAATCTTGGGGCAATTCTTAGCCACTCATAAATCTAAAACATTTGATGGAGGTTGAATCACCCAAACGATAACAGATCAATTATCGGTCTCGTTTATCTTATAAACAGCTGGTTTAGACCAAAGTTACTTAGCCAGAATTTCGTTTTACACAGCTAACGACGGCATCGCGCATAATTAGTCCAAAAATTCATCGAACTTCGCCGGAGGTCATTGAAATCCGCGTCGCGTCGCCTTGTCTTGGTTCGACGTGGGCGAAATTGGAATCCAAGGGCACAGTGCACAGTTCGACTAACTGTAGGTTCGCAGCATCTTTTGATATAATTTATAGAAGTGCACATTCAGTCGTCAGATTTTATAGATTCGGTGAACCCCGCTGGAGTTCGGCGATTTTTTTTTCTGATAATGAGTAATGGACGGCAGTGTATTACGTTGTCTACGGATACTTCATTGTAATTCATCCTCTGTTCTGACTTTGAAATTCACGATTTCAGGATGCGCTGGAGAAAAGGATCAGTATGTGTGATCGCTCTCGAATGCCACTTGCGATTTACAAACAATGCTCAATTCTGGTTAGTATATTGTGCACAAGAATGAAACGAACCCGTTGCTCTTTCCCAGCACATCAACACAATGCATTGTGGTATTCCGTTATAGAGGTGGTCACAGTGCGAATGTACGTTTTGAGCACATGATTATGTTGTGTTAAAAAGACCTATGAACACTAAAATTGGGGGAAAGATATGACATAGGTCAAAGACATTTCCGCATATTTCCTCCATTTACTAACAGATCCAGTCTTTCCTACTATTGGGAATTATATTTTGCATACGATTTGATCGCAACCCACTTTGCTCATATCCGCTCACTGATATTTGAGCAAGTGACTAAAATATCTTTAGCTGGTTTTTCCTTTACGCATCGGACCAAAAGTGACAGCAAATCAAATTTCAACGCATTTTCACGAAGAGGTACCATGATTCATGTGACCACCTTCTGCTTGATCCTTTCTTTCAGCCCTGTTTCCTTGTTGCGAATTCCTCAGTTATCGGACCAATCGTAAATTTGCAAGGCTCGGCGAACTGGAGGTCATTCAGGACATTTCTTGAAGGAAGTGGGTGCACTCGGATTTCCCTGCCGCTAAGGGTGCGTCTTCACTTGGAAAGGTTCACAATCGATATGCAAGTTCTAGGGTTTTCGCGAGATCTTCGTGGACTTCTCTGACGCAGCGAACATGTTGTGCTGTTTGTCGATATCCCCTTTCGCGGCTATGCGGCTGTATCTTATGTGAAATAGTGACGTGATAAGGTGGTGCCCACCTCGAAGCCAAGCCAAGAGAGATCTGGTTTTGCATCGATCAGCTACATAAGCGAGCATCTTCTGCACAAACGGTTTCACTCCGGAGCCTAGCTTACTCTTGACGACTCACAGGCGCTTTGTCTGCTTCTGATCTGTCCGAATCGTCGTCGCAGGAGGTGATAGGTGATATCGTTATTGAGTTCAGACCGCCCTCATCAATGATATGCGTTATTCGTATGTATAGCTGATCAGACCGGTATATGCTGGGCTTGACGGGCGGCAGTCGGTATCCGTGGTCATTTTTTGTCGTCCCCGTCCGAAGAAACCCGATTGCGACGGCTCGTTATTAACGCTTCCTTTGCCTTTGCACTGTCGTATCCCAGCTCACATCACTTTTCATTTTTAGCCTGAAAACTTTTGTTACTTTTTCTTACTCTACTCTACTGTTACAGGTACTGCCTCTGCAGGACGACTATCATTTAAAGTTATGATCCCATTTCACTTAACGTTTGCATTTGCAGTTAATGACTGACTTATGTTTCTCAACCAATGTTTGAACAGTCGCTGCATCTTTATGCATGATCGTTCCCTTTAAACACTTCAAAGGGTTGAGGAACACTCACGTCGAGTCTCCAAAACCAGAATACACCCAGACGTTCGATTCATCCCAATCTACAGATGTGGTTTCCTGTCGTGTTGCTACTCATCGTTTCGTCTGTGCTTGCAATTGAAATTGGAGATGATCTCAGCTTCCAATTGGATTTGATTAAGCATCAACCGTGCAATCGTGGTAGCAGTGAGTTTTTATATCACTTGATAAATGGGAATCTAAGCAGAAAGTCATAATAGGATTAGTGCAACTGCTTTGGCCACCGTAGTCATTCCATATTTTATACGTGCACATACATTTTGCAATGCTCCTTTTATAAGTTTCATTGGCAGTCTTCCATACATGTCTTGGAAGTTTTTTTTCTAAGCTTTCCTCTCGATATCAGAAAGAAAATCCAAGCAAAAGCCGCCCGAAAAACATTCACTTGGAAAACGCGTTCTAGCAATGAAATTTGGAGTGTGGTGCGCAATGAGTGCAGTGCGTGCGGTCGCACATATTACGACCATACCTTCGATAGTCTAGAGACAGGGCCTCAAAAGTGAAGGTTGTTTGAAAATCTGACGTCATGAATAGTGAAGGTTGTTTAAAGAAGATCAGAAAAGAGAAAATGACGTAAAACAGATATAAAAAGCAAAAGAAACTGCTGAAAATCGGATAAAAACGCTGCAATGAGGTTTGAATTCTTTCATCTGGCGGCTTTCCAAAGTGCAAGTTTTCGCTCCAGGATCAGTAATTCGCAACACGGGGTTTTGATTTTTGATGCGTCCTTTGAATTTTTACCCCCGCATTGACGTTCCTATTTCCTGGGACGTTGTCTGGATTGTTGCGCTTATTGTTCTGAGCAACAATCGCCCAAGCTGGAAAAAAATCGATGCGAAAGCACTGAGACAGAACAAGGTAAAGAAAAACGCACTTTTTACGATTTTTCGCAAAAAATTCCACCATAATCGAAGAGGTAAGGGCTGGGTGGTTGTCTGGATTATGAACAGAAGCAAGATCTATAGAATGCACGAAAAAACCGCGTGAAAAGAGTTAAATTAGGAGAAAAACAAGAGATTTTCGAAAACAAGGTTTTTGCCGGATTTCTCAATAAAATCAAAAAATGTGGTTCTGGGACGTTGTCAGCGTTAAAATAGAGATCAAGAGCTTCAAAATGATATATAGCTTGCTAACACTAGGTTCGAAACAGCGAAGAAAAGGATACCAGAGCCAAATGCCCCGCGCCCCGCGTTTGGGGTAGCGAGGTAGCGCGCAGCCCGCGGAGACGCAGACGAGCAGCGGAGACAGACCAGAGCCGACGGGGCATTTGGCTCTGGTCGTAGATCTCCGCGGGGTCACAACGAAACCCTACATAATTATATATCATTCTGATCGCCATGACACGACAAGGAGAACTGAGAACGTCCCAAGCTTTGAATATCACTCATTAATGAGATAGACCAGCGCTTTCCTGCGCGACTTTCTGCGCAAGATTTAAGCGCAGTTTCTCGTTTTTATTTAACTCCTATAGCTTTCCTAAACTTCTGAAACTCGATTTTGTTCAAATGAGAGGTTGACTGACAAATTTTGTCCTGAATTCGGCGAAAATTCTACAGAATCCTTCTTTTTATGGTAAAAAAGGCTATGAAAACGCAAATTTTCGGTTCTTCTAAGATAATCTAAAGATATTCTTTCCTGTACTTGCTTCATACACATTCGTTGCAATATAGTCAGGATTATAACATCCGAAGCGAAGTCGGATGGCTCCTGTTTTTTGCAGGTGAAGGTTGTGTCCCCTCAAAGTGAAGGTTACCAGAGTACGTGGCTCTATGTATCGAGGGTATGATTACGACGGCATGACTGAACTGTGTTAACTCACATGATTCACTAGAAAGAAAATTTGTCTGAAGGGGGTCAATGCTCTAAGATTTGACTAAACAAGCGATGTTGCGTGTCGCATACCGTTTTTGTCTTGCAATTGCTTTCAAGCTTAGAGTTGCTTGTTTCTTCCACGTCTGCCGTGTCAGCAGGATGTCTGCAAAGATTCAAGTGCCTTCAATGATTCAAGTGCCTCAGCGTGCTTCACAAGCGCTACCAAAAACTTGGCTGTAACACTGATTAGATCTCGGAAATACTCACAATAGTACTACCTATATTTTCGATATCGCATCAAAGCACATGCAAATTGATATGGTGAAGGGATGGTTCCTATGACTACATTTAGTTGCTCAAGGGGCATTATTGGGTGACTCGAAGCGTGATGCGAACGGCATCAAAATCTGTTTTTTCGGGTATAGAAGCTACAAGCAAACTAGTATACCAAGTTGGGGATTACTTGTGCACATTTGGCGAATACGCTGTCCGGATCTCCTCACACTGTAGAACAGAAGCTTCGCTGCTAAAGAAGACAGGAACTCTGCTTGTTCAGATGCTAAATGGACAAAAAAGTTGGAGTTCGAGTCAGGCACCGACAAGAAAGGCCCAAAGCTGGAACCAATTGCTGATCGACCGAATTGTTACACTATTGGAGGAAAAGTGGATGTGTTAGAGGTGAGTGCCTCACTATTCAATCACTATTTGATTTCAGTCATTGATTTTGCAAAACTTCAGGATTTCCACGGCGAATTCTCCATTTATCTTGAGCTGCGTAATACTGCCAGCAAGAGGCAGGTACCAGAAAGTTGCGTCAAGCAGGGAGCTGATGGTTGTGGTGGATTCGGCTCTTGGTAAGTCTTTATATACTCACCATTTTTGATGATCTAGTCAACTCAATCATCCAACAAGGCGTGTTAATTCTGTAGAGTAAAATGGATGAGAAGGTACACGTCCACTTAATCAACGCTAGAATATTTTAGTTTGTACTGCAACGCCTGCAAAACATTCGGCGACAACATTGGAGTGCAAGCACAGCTGCTTTTAGATGGAAACCCCATCAAGTGTTCTGTAAGTACTTGAAATATGTTCTTATTTACTCGGAAACGAACCAATTCCTTACTGTAATAGGTTACGGTAATGCTTTCTATATCTCACTCTCAAAACCGAGTTTGTTGAAGTCACTGTGCATGATTTCACATTGACAAATATCTCAGAATCTACTACTAACATCTACGAACTCATGCCTTTTGTTAGGATTTGTTCATATGTCATTTCGTCCGCGCTGGATTTTTTAATGTAGTTCGGCTTTTTGTCATTGGAAACTGAGAAGCTTGCTAGTGATACGAATCACGAAAACTTTATATCGTTGATTGAAGGTACGTATGCTGTTGAGCTGAGTTGCAAAGTTTTTTGCGCCCCTTTGGCACTTCCAATTCGAGCTTCGAGCGATGCTCGCATTTTACAAACATAGATTCCGAAAGTTGAATGGCGTGTCACCACGAATTCATCGTACTAAGTTCATATCTGGAATACTGGCAGCAGCCGCACCTCAGAGATTCAGCCGAATGAAGAGGTAATGCTAGAAGTAGCGCGTTAACACTGAGTCTAAAATTGTCGCACTGTGAGCTAAGCGACTAAAACGATTAGCTATTAGTTTGTCAGAATGAAGTCTGCCCGATAAGATTTTCGTCTTAGGGTTGTCTAGTTTAGGCTGTTCGTTTACTTGAAGTTGCCCACAATCCAAAGAAACTTGTGTGACGACCAAGCGTCTGCAAAGCTTTTTTGCGATAACTCAAAACATAAATTCATCTTGGCCATCATGTATCGAGACTTTCTTTCTTGGTCTATGTCGGTAGCGATGCGGATTACCTCTTGGATAGTTCATGGACACCATGATGAATCCTCTTACAAATCATATCTTCGGTAGTCTAGAGACATGTCGTCAGAAGTGATCGTTGTTCGTATATCTGCCTCATAAAAAGTGAAGGCTGTTTATATTAGGTTGAACCGAAAGTTCTGTCGCACCATTTTCAAAAAATCGATTTTCTTCCTATCGCAATGATTTTGCATGGCTAAAATTTTACTGGAAAGAGCAATCCATGCACTTTCTAGGGGTACCCTTGTTGCTATCCAATAAGCTCTGATTGCAGAGATAAAACTGGAAAACGAAATCACTTCAATTCCGGAATTTTAAGGCACGCCCGTTAAAAAATCCAAAACTGTGCCATAAGATCCAAAACAGCAAGTATCCTATACTATTTGAACCCCTCTTACTAGTTGTGCGAGATTCGCGCTGATCGAGCTGTTTTTTGAAAAGTTATGATTTTCGAGAAAAAACTTCAAAAATCCGGATTTTATGGCACAGTTTTGGAATTTTCAACGGGCTTGCCTCAAAATTCCCAACTTGAAGCGCTTTCGTTTTTCTAATTTTATCTCTGCATTCAGAGTGATGTAGATAGCAACAAAGGAAGAAATACCGCTAGAAAGTGCATGGCCATGCCATGCAAAATAGCCATGCAAAATCGTTGCGATAGGAAGAAGTTACGATTTTTTGAAAATGGTGCGACAAAAATTTTGGTGTAACCTATTAGTATTAGGCTGTTACATAAGTGTGTTACACTTCAAATTCTTACAACGATAAGTCGTAAACTTTATAATTTTTATGGGCCTCCAGGGTACCGTTCGATAGAGCAAAGTAAGCAAAGTGTACAAGATCCATGCGAAAGTTCGCACCAGCTTCGACTCAAAGTAAGTTTGCATCCGGAATGTGAGTTGTACGGAAGGCTCAAAAATCGAAGGAAATTCATATCCCCGTCCATAAAAATCCTCCACATTTCCAACTTGTTTGCACAGATTGCACACCACATCAGACACTCATACGTACCGTTGCTGTATTTCTTCCTCATCTAGAAATCGAGAAAACAAAAATTTTCTTGTTTTTAAAAAAACGAAGCTATGCTGTTTCATTCATGTGGTTGCTTGCCTCAAGCCTTTAGAAGCATAACCGTAAATTTTCAGCTTTCCACAAGCCGTAGTCTTCGAAAAATGCCGAATTTAGCATCGAGCACTCGAGTGAGAATGTTAAATTCCGTATTTTTCGAGAAATAGGTCTTGTGGAAAGCTGAAAATTTACGGTTATACTTCCAAGGTCTCGTAGTATACAACGTCATAAATAGAAACAGCATAGCTTCTTTTTTTTACGAACAAGAAAGTTTTCGTTTTCTCGATTTCTGGATCAGAAAAAAATACAGTAACGGTACATATGAGTGTCTGATGTGGTGTGCAATCTGTGTGAGCAAGTTGGAAATCTGTAGGATTTTCTTGAACCACGAAATGAATTTCTTTCAACTTTTGAGCCTTCAGTACGACTCACATTCCGGATGCAAACTTACGGTAAGTTGAAGCTCCTGCGAGCTTTTGCATATATATTGTAGAGCTTGCTCTGCTCTATCGAATGCTACCCTGGAGCCCAATGAATTTATAAAGTGTACGACTTATTGTCGTAAGAAATCAAAGGAAAAAAGTGCAAAATTGATAGCAGAACGATAGAAACTCTAAAGTAGGGCAGAAACGCTGCAATGAGTTTAAAGTCTTGCATTTGGCGGCATTCTGAAGTGCAGGCTTTTGCTCTAGGACGAGGAAATACACAACACAGAGGAAAACAAGGGAAAAATAATTTCTTCTTTATGATTGTTTCGAAAATAACCATGTTCCGGAAGGGTGATTATCATAAAGAAGATAAAAAAGAAAAGCAGTAGCCATGAAAACGCAAAGTTATGAATTTACTAACAATAAGTCGAACTGCACGTCAAAGCCAATCCAGTTTTTGATTCTTTGAATTTTTATCCTCGCATTGATGTTCATGTTTCCTGGAACGTTGTCTGGATTGTTTCGCTCGTTATTCTGAGCAATAATCGCCCAAGTTGGAAAAAGTTCGGTGCGAAAACACTGAAATAGAACAGCGTGAAGAAACACGACTTTTCAAAGCCTTTTAGCAGATATTTTGGCACAATCGAGGAACTCTGGGACGTTGTCTACATTATAGAGAGAAGCAAAGTTTTTCGAATGCAGGAAAAAAATGGGGGATAAGTGTGGAACTAGAGAAAAACAAGAGATTTTCGAAACATTCTTCCTGCCAGATTTCTCGTTCAATTCTAAGAATAGGATTTTGGGACGTTGTCAGCGTGAAATTCAGTATGATATACAATTTGCTAAAACTGAGTTCATAGCAACGGAGAAAAGGGTACCAGAGCGAAATGCCCCGTGCCCCGCGTTTGGGGTAGCGAGATAGCGCGCAACCCGCGGAGACGCAGACGAGCAGAAGAGAAAGACCAGAGCCCACGGGGCATTTGGCGCTGATCGTAGGTCTCCGTGGGGTCTCAGCGAAACCCTGAAACATTATATTATAACATTCCGATCGTCATTGCACGACCAGGAAAAATGACGACGTCCCAAGTGTTGAAATCACTCATTAACTGATCAAGCAGCATTTTCGTGCGCCTCTCTCTGCGCAAGATTTGAGCGCAGTTTCTCATTTTTGAACTCAAACAGTTTTCGTGAACTTCTGAAAATCAACCGTAGTCTAGAAGAGGTTAAGTGAGAATTGTAGTCCTATTCCAGGGACATTTTCACAAAAGCCTTCTTTGCAGCATAGAAGAGGCTATAAAAACGAAACTTTTCGGTCTCGCTTTGATTTCTCTTGTAAGATATCACCCACCATACTTGTTTCCTTTACAGTCATTCCGATATGGTTATGATATTAACATCCAAGCCTTCGCCCCGAATCGACTATTTCTATTTGGGTGAAGGTTGTGTTCTTTTATGTTGCTCAAATGAAGATTAGAGTACGAGAGTACATGGCTCTATGCATCGAGGGTATGCAAATCACCGTAATTTGCCATTGTTGATGAAACTGTCCAAAATTCTGCTGTTCGCATATGTCAATATATTAATGTAATACGCAAGATGTATTCAAACGATCTGATCGAGAAAGCTTGGTCAAACCAGAGTTTTTATTTCAGTTGTGTAGGCGGTCAAAAATCCCATAAACCAGTTTTTTTTCGGAGATTGTACTAGGTCATTCGAAATAGCAACCAGATAAAAGTTTCAAATCTTGAACCTTTTTTTAAGTAGACATACATTGTACTCAAATACCGAGCCATATCTGAAAACTTGCATCAAGGGCTTCCGCGTACGATAGCAAGCACCATAACCATAACAAACTGCCGATCCTGTAGATGAAGCTTCAATTTGACTTGCTCAAAACTACGAGAACGCGGGGCTCGCTCTACATCATCAAAAAGCTTTAATTTGTCACAAAAAGTTGAAGAAATGAGGTTGCTTTAGCAGTGCTGAAACTGCTCATAAAAAGACCATGATCGCAACAGTTGTGAACAATTTTTATGGACAATTTCCATGGCAAAATAGATTTTGTCATGGAGAACGTGTGTAGAAAATGGGATTTTGTCATTTCTGAGACCCCTCCACTCACCCTCCACCCATCTTGCGATAGGTTGAGATGGGTACAGAGTTGTGGAAGTATTTTTCGTTTTATTGATAATTGAAACGCTTGACACATATTGCAAAAACCAGTGAAATTCGTAAAAGCCTTTTTGGTGGAAAATTAGCAACTTCTAAATTACACAGCTGATGTTTTTTCGGCAACAATTGTCATTCAACGGCTTTGAATCCAAAAAGTATCTTCGGAAGGGAGCATGGTTGCATATGTAGATTTTCATAGAAAAATTGATTTTTTTCAAAGTTAAAATCTTTCGGTTATCAGCAAGCTTGGGCTAGCCACCTACGCATTTGATTTACGCCATTTTCAATTTCTCACTGTCCACTTTGGTGTGTACAGCAGCTGAAAAATCGTACTTCTACAGGGGAAGAGGTCGAATGGCGCGTATTGATTGATTCTCAGTAATCGGAAAACCAGGAAAAAAGTTCGAAATTTATTTAATACTTCCGGGATTCAACTAGTAATCCTCTGTTACTATTTGTCATATGATGACAAAACTTTACGAGTTTGGAAAGACAGCTTTTGTAGAGTACAAATCCCTCCTGGCAATGGCGACTACCGAAACGCGCGCCTTTCGACATACACCCCTTCTACATGTTGTCCCATAAGTCTTGTCATTTTTGAGTTTTCGCTGTAAAAAGTCATACACCTCTTATTCTGAATAGACGTCTGGATATTCGATAGAGCAAAGCAAGCTCTATCAAATGCCGTTTATACTTTGCGTAAACTTTGATCCACCTCAAGTTCAAAACCAATAAAAAGTTTCGGATACCCAGAAAATTGAAAATCTTTTATATCTTCGTTCAGAAAAATCCCACAGATCTCTCACTCGCTCACGAATGTAAACTCCACAACAGACAATCATATGTGCCGTTGCTGCATTTTTTACTAGCTAGAAATCACGAAAACGAAATTTTCCATTTTTTTGCCAAAGTGTTGCTGTGCTGTTCTTACACTAACAGTTGCATTCTACAAGTCGACAGAAGTATCCACAAGCTCTATTTCCCGAAATATGTTGAGTTAAGCGTGGAAAACCCGAGTGAGGAAAGCTAAATTCGATAATGGAGCATATAGAGAGCTAAAAGTTTACGTTTTTACTTCAAGTGCTTGTAGTATATAATTGTTAGTTTAGGAACAGCACAGCATCATTTTGGTAAAAAACATGAAAATTTTCATTTTCTTGATCTCAAGCTAAAAAATACAGCAATGGCACATATGAGTATATGATGTGGGGTGTATATGCGTGAGCGAGTGAGAGATCTGTAGAACTTTTTTGAACGAAGATATAAAATTTTTTCAATTCTTTGGGCGTCCAAAACTTTTTATATTTTGGTTTTGAACCTGAGGTGGATCAAAGTTGGCGAAAAGCATAAGCGCCATTTGATAGAGCTTGCTTTGCTCTTGAATGATATCCAGATGTCTGTCTAGAATAAGAAGATGACTTATTACAGCGAAAACTCAAAAATCAAAAGACTTATGGGACAACCTAATATTAGGTTGGCACGAAAGTTCTTGCGTAATTCAAACAAAATCCAATAACTTTTCAAGGACTAAACCTAAATTCACAGTTTTGTATGCTAAAAATATTAGAAGTTTTACGTTCCATGATGGAAGTTCACGCACAACATTTCATGAGCTAGCCATCGAGAACGAAGCTCTCAAATGTGGGGCTTCAAATTTTGCGATTTTGAGTTTGGTGGCAGAAAATCGCAGAGGGCCGCTAGCTAGCCGAAAAAAATCTGTAGAATTTACTTACACAGCAAAAATCCATAAGTTATTTTAGCAGGCTTCGATCGCGCATGGAAATGCGAAAACAAAAAATTTGTGAAATTTCTCATTTTATAGGGCAAATCCCCTTATCGCTCTAAATTTTCCACAAAAACACAGTCTGCAACCAGAAATTAGACATAGTGCCTATTTTGAGCCTTGCAACGTTTTCTCGATTGTAAATAAGTGTTTTCGCCGGAAAACTGAGGACATGTGGGGATTTTTTCCGCAAAATGACATATTTCACTAATTTTTTGTTTTTGCTTCACCGTGCAAGATCAAAGCCTTCCAAAGTAACATATGGACTTATGTTGTGTAAGTAAATCCTACAGATTTTTTTCAGCTAGCTAGCGGCACTCTGCGATTTTCTGGTACCAAACTCAAAATCGCAAAACTTGAAGCCCCATATTCGATAGCTTCGTTCTTTATGTCCAGCTCACGGAATCTTATGCTTAAACATCCATCCTGAAGCGTAAGGCTTCTAATATTTTTAGCATACAAGGTTGTGAATTTAGGTTGAGTCTTTGAAAAGTTATTGAATTTTGTTTGAATTACGCAAGAACTTTCGTGCCAACCTAATAGTAGCTTACGTACTAATGATCTGTCCTACAATGCTTACGAAAAAAAAGACCGTAGATATAGGCATTCATCTTCTGCTGTGTGCATATACTACCAAGGTGTGTAAAAAGCACTATCTGTCAAATGCACAGTCTATCGCGTTGAAAGGCGGCTGCTGAATTGTTGCCAGTGCTAAACGAAACGAGATCTGACATTATTTTCAGTAAATGTGCACAACAATAAAAAGTATTGTAGCTTAATTGAATGCTGATCATCTGTTTGCATTTTCAGGATGGCTTGGCGAAAGGAACGTACAACAATCTGAAACTTGCCTTCTGCCTACCAAAAATGGAAGATATTCTTCGTTCACAAGGTCTCACGAAGGAAACCTTCCTGCAACTTGTTCGCAGTGACGTAAGTGTTCTGAGCCTCATACACCCAGACATATTCATTCAAGGCGCTTTCAGAAACAAAACGCTCAGAAAGAGAGTTACATTATCGAGTTACGTTAGATTATTCAGGAAGTTTTTTTTCTGCACTGTAGTCTCTATCACACATGAGTTGATTTATTGTAATGAAGTAGTCTTATATCCCAGCGACTATAGAGAAGAGATCCCTGCTTGAGACAAACTTTGCTTTACTCACCTCTGGCCAGCGATCCTCTCGCTATTTGCCTTCTCCACCCCACTATCTCAGAATTTTTTCCGCAATCCCGTATGTGCATGTCCATGTGATAGGGCACTTTCGCGATAAACAAAAAGATGGTTTGTCTAAGAACAGTTTTCACTAAGAGTTCCAGCCGAGAACTTTGACAGAAGAGCGAACATACTGCCATTCGTTCTGATATTTCTTATCTATAAATTATGTTTAACTTGAGCATCAGAGCGACTAGATCCATTTTCATAATTGGAGGTTGCAGGATGGTCAATCTGTTCGTTCAATGGGCATATTTGCCACAGTGTATATCTTCGACACAGATGTGAGCAAGCAAATGCAAACACAGGCTCGAATTGAGAGCGTCTATCGCAAAACCAAGAAAAGCTTCTTCAAGGTTGGTATCCTTATCTTTTTTCAAATGATTCAGTCAGAGTCTCTGACTGAGTAGCTAAGAACAGAACAATGTTTGCAAGTTTTGACTTGCCATGAAATTAGGGATTCTTGACTTAAAGTCAAAATTACTGAGTACTGTAAGTGTTCTGAGCTTATAGAAACTTCCCTTCGTCTGTCAAATAACCAATGATTACTAGAATCGCGCCACTTTGAAGAATGGGGTTGATGAGATTTTGATGCCTAGCCGTAGCGCGGTCCCCAACTGTATACTTGCCCTCGCGCTGCGAAAAGTTGCTTCCGAGCCGTGAAAATTTCCTCGAAAATCGCTTCGGATGACGATTCGCCACGTTGGATCCTCCCATTTGAGTGGGTGCGACGTTCGTCCCGCCCATCCTTGCGCATCCAACCAATCACCGTTCCGGAGAGTTCATCATGCGGGTTTTGCGAAACGGGGATTGTCGAGGTTTTCGCGGATTCGCGACTTGATTTCGGAATCAGGGACATGTAAAGGCCCCGAAACTACAAAAACATTGAAATCGAGAATGGTTGGATGGTGCTTCTAATGCAGTTCTCTCAGTTGGAGCAGGAAGGGAGGTCCCAAAGGCGGAGCTTGAACCTACGCAATTTTTAAATGCACCTCCGTGTGCAAATGATCACAGATCCAATTACAATGAATTATTCTTCTGTAGAATCACGAATAAACCCGCCAAGATCAAACGAATAGATTAAAAAATCGAGGAAACTGGTGCGGAAAAATGGCGAAGTTGCTCGTACTACACCACAGAGTAGCGGCAACCGGTTCTGCACCGGCAACCCGCGCAACTTATTGTTAGAACGCTTTTGGATCGATTTACGTCTGGAAATCTATCGTTTTCAATAGTCGAAGCGAAACACTAAAAAACTAAGATTGAAAAAGAGAGAGAGAAAGAGAGAGAGAGAGAGAGAGAGAGAGATCTTCTCAACTTGTCCACACCATGGAAGCAAATCTTTATTTATCCAGCGAGATGAAATGGTTTTTAAAGATATTTCCGCAGCAACGTATGAACAAAAAAAGCTGGTTTGCAAAAAACTGAAAATCTTCTGATATTTGTTGCATTAAGTCCATTGAATATCACGTATGCCATGTCTTATTTTTGCTTTTATGGCAGTTATAGGAGAGTCACAGTTGTTGTAGTGAACCATGCATTATTGTGTGATTGCTTTCTACAGCAAACATCTAAAGTTATTTGTCGCTTTGAGAAAGTTCGAGAATATATATAATCACACGCTTGGAATCTAAGGCTTTGAAGGTAGTGCTTAACACTTTGATGACCGAGCCATTTTGGGCAAAACTTCCGCTACCACTTCTCGCGAATTTAGCGCACGCGTATGCACGAAAACATTATATAGAATTGTTTTTTGGCTTTTTTTTTACACAGAACATGCGAACTTTTTACAGAATTACATGTATCACACAGAGTCTCACAGGTATTGCTCATACAAAGATTTTTGCATAGTTTATCCCTCGAGTACCCTGCAGTGGCTATGTCTGGGAAGTCTCCGTTTAAGAAAAGCGTTATACCACTGACTGTTTTCGCTTGACATGCTTGATAGCTTTGGGAACAGTTGCACAGGGTTTTTCCCTTTTCGGAATAACAGAAGTGTTCCACTATCTTCTCTCCTAGATCTACTATGTTAATTCAAAGTTCCTCTTCAAGTTACTGTAAATCTGCACGATTCAACGCTTCTCTGAGTACATAGAATGCCTTCGGAGCATGTGAAGACTTCAAATCCTTCACTCTTTATCCTTCCAAATCTCTAAAGAATTTGGAATGAAACTTTTCCCAACTTTCGCCAAATCAGAGTACACCTGATTTGGTGAGCTGCTAAGAGTGGCCAGTGTTGGAGGCTGAGGACCAGTGGCCAATGTTTGAGGAGGATGTGATTACGATGCTTGCACATTTTGGCACAGTCCTTTCCATTATTAGGATTTAAAAGGCATGGTTTTACAGTCGAATCATTTCATATGGTCATGTGTGCACCCGCACACACCGCTCATCTTTGGCGTCCTCATCTTAGATTTGCAATCGCAAAACGCAGGAGACTGACCGATCCCTATCGCTTACATCACTTTGAAGTGAATAGTACCTAAAAAGGAAAGAAAACATTGAAAACACTTTGAAAATATCTGCATGAAGGGGTGCCTCCTTTAAGAATCTAGGATGGGAACGCCAAAGGCGGACGGTGTGTGCAATGTCACACATGATCATACGAAATGATTCCACTGTACCTTCAGTGACCCCTAAATTTCCATAGCTTATAGAATTCTTGAAAGGAAAGCAAAAGCGGATACCGTAAGGGAGGCTACAGCAGTTCAACACTAGCTTTGCAAAAAATTTTATATATCAAAAACGAATTCCAACAAAATCAAAATTACTTGGACCGTTGTAGACTAAATTCATGCTCAGAATTAGACAATTTACTTTTGTACACAAATTTCGAGTCCTTGAGAAAAAAATTATTTGGAAATTTATGCCGAGCTGGCACTTGATATTTTGCAATTTTTCTGCCGTATTAGAAATCACCAATCTGTATAATAAGTAAGGCCATCTCAAAGTTAGCTTAGCTTGAGAAAATACTCTATTGCTGTTGCTTGACTGTGTTAGGCTAATTAAATAGCCTAAAGAGTGTTTGCCTGTGCCGTTCGAAGTTTACAAACTAAGAAAAGCCTTAACGGATGGCTTTTTCTATCATGCACACATTTTGCACCAACTAATATTTCTGATCCGTTTAATCACGTTTAATCAGCTGTTTTTGAAACCCATATCTTCCACTTGCAGTGTGGTACGCGGTGACTATAAGAAAACGAGTGAATCATCTTAGTTATAGCAGAGCAATAGTTTGCATGCCCTACTTTGCTCACTCAAAACAACACCAAAGATCCGTAGTCGAAAGTTTCAAAACTTTGTTTCATTTGTGTGGGCAGGTTTCCTCGATTTATGAGGCTGCTCTGAATCCTTTCCCATGTGCAAAAGTTCAAAGTAAAAACTTTAATGCGTAACTAGGCGCGTCAGTCTTCCTTAAACACCTTTTTCTCAAAATCTATTCTTTCTAGTCTTTGTGAAAATTCGTGCACACTGGCACTATTTCATCACTAAAGCGATTTTTTTAGCAAGTTGTATGCAGTCAATTCTGTCTCGAATTTGTTTATGAGCTTTCTAATGGTCGTCAAATGTGACAGAAAATCGTTTCTTTTTATTGAATCGATTTCTTTTTTTCTAATTTTCTGTGCTGACGGCTAATAATATGTTGTATGTGTAACCATGTGGTAGCATTGTTTGGAGCAGAGCAAATGCAGATGCTCTCTGATTGCCCTTGGCTAATCAATCTTGAATCATCTTTCCCAGATTTGGCATTGGCAGTGACTGGCCGCAGAGGTAGTCGTCTGTTTGTCCCGGGGTGCACAAAGTTAGCCAATATACTCCCCCACGTCCATTTATTGTTCACTGTATGTAAACTTTTTTATTTTTAAAATCCGCAGAGGAAAAACAATTCGCATTTTACCATTTTTCAACGATATTCTTGTGTTTATGTGTTCCTCTTCCAAGCTGTACAATCGGCTATTGCTCGTACCACACAGATCTTTTTAAGGAGATATTTATGCAATGTTTACAACGGAAATTTTCTTGCACATATTCCCATAGGGGCATTGTCTGGTTCAAAACCTACCCATTTTTTGTAATACTCAATATTTCATTTTGCACGTATGCTGAAGTGATGATTTTCGTAGGGTTGATCCTACGCCCTTTTATATGGTACTCGTAACAGAAATCGGCATTTTTATATCGCGCCATAAACAGATATAGAGGAATACTTGCAACAAGTAATCGATTGAAAAAAGTGGAGGATTCAGTAGAACCAAAACGATATATCAACGGAACTATGACGCCTCAGACTGCAACGTTGAAAAATCTGGATCAGTCTCTGGACAACCTTATACAATTACAATATCCTATATTGAAAATTATGTGACATACGTTGAACATTTCTCAAACATACTGGAAATAAATATTCCGGGAATTTGCAAAACATATGCTAACTCAATGGAAATTGGAGAAACCATATGGTTTGACAGATTGTGTGCTCGGCAGAGTGTAACGCACTTTTGAGATTCGAAAGCAATCCACATCCAACATCCCCAGCGGTAGCAATCGAAAAAATGAGTGCTGCTGCACCAGGGTCTTTTTTTTTTCAATTACCGAATTCCAACTTTTCCGCCTTTCTCCAGCAGCTGTGTTTCAAAATCTGTTCCAGTAGCATCGAATTCATCAGCAAGCAACATTTGACAATTTTTGAGATTGTCCCATTTTTATTGAATGAAAGCATATGTTGTGACCTTATTAAGATTTTAGAAATTGAGAAGAAAGAGCTAATCTTAGCTACGTACAGATTTATTTTACATGTTGTCCCAAAAAGATGTGCACACTGTTTGATCGTTAATAACTCTCCTGCTTTCATGTCTTTTGCCGAGCTTAAGGTGCCATTCTGTAGAACGAGGTTCAACTTAAATTTGCTGTGTGGAGCGAATCACCAATCACTCTTCATTACTGAGGATTACGGTATGAACTTCCAGCATACAGCGTCACTGGGAAATGGGCCTGATGAAATAATTTCAAAAAACGTCTGAAAATTTGTATGGCAAGGTTTTCAGGCATGGTGGTTTCACTACATGACTTTTCATGAGTTTTTCGAGCTTTTTTGATGGCGTATTCACATTTCTGATGAACATTGGAAAAACAGTTGTTACCCTAAATCTGAAATAACTTATAAAAGAAGCGCTACACTAAAGTGGAAATTTCATTTTTAGACTCAGCGTCTTCGATTAGCCCATTCAAGAGTTTCTGGCTTGTTTGGCTTTCTTTCTGAGGCAAATTACCGGCAAAATACCGCTTACAATGGCTTAAAATCCTCCTCGAATTTTCTACCGTAATATACAGTAGTGAAGAGTGATTGATGATTCGCTCCACACAGCAAATTTAAGTTGAACCTCGGTCTACAGAATGGCACCTTAAGCTCGGCAAAAGACATGAAAGCAGGAGAGTTATTAGCGATCAAACAGTGGGCACATCTTTTTGGGACACCCTGTATATTCATGCTCATCACTATTCTTGACATCATTTTTGCAAAAAGAACACCAACTTTTGACAATATTCTCATCGGTTCGAAGCTTAACTATTCGGCTTGTTATTTGGCTCATTATCTGATATGTGCTTAATACGACTACTTCGGTGGCCGTTATATCAGTTTTGCTGCATAAGTTTTGTCCTCTTCGCATTTTTAATTTAAAAATATTATAACTTCTGTAGAAATCAACTTTCTTCGATAAGCTTAGTTTCCTTGGATTAAGTAACTATCAGATAGATAATACGACTTACGAAAAACGCTATTTCAGAAGAAGCAAGATTTCAAAATTTTGCAACGTTTTTTCCAAACCTGTCTTTCTTTCTTTGGCATAGTGCTGCTCCCCTATAAGAAGTGGCAGACATTTTTAGCATCAATAGATAGCGAAAATTTTGAAGACTATTTTATGACCAAAAGGACTCCATATAATACTTAAGACCTAGAGATTATCTGGAGCAAACAAAGAGCTGATAATTTGCCTCGCATTTGTATGCGCATTTGTGATCTTTTTCAAGTTACAAAATTACAATCGCGAGTATTGAAAAGTACTGGTGTATGAGCTTTCCTAGCTCTTGCTTCACTCTTCCACCTACTACGGACTCATCGGACTGCCTATTCACAGAAAGAACTTCTGTGGAAATCAACTTCTGTTTAACGCATCAATATTCGACATCAAATTCTACTCAAAGGGTTTTTTGAATAACCAAATTAGTAGCGCATTTGTTAGCCCTCTATACCCTTACTCTGTGAGCGGGAAAATTGCGAGATGTTTTTACAAAAATATGTTTTTTAGTAAAGACCATATTTCTGACACCTGCACGACTGCAGATTTCCACGAAATATTAGGTTGTCCGGAAATTAATGTCCGTTTTGAATTTCAACCGCAATAAGTCATACACTTTTCACTTCTGAATAGGTTGCAAGGTAAAATTCGATAGAGCAAGCAAGCTCTACAAAATGGCAATTGTTTTTGCAGCAGCTCTCATTAACCTTGAGTTTCGAACTAAAAACTAAAAAGATCCAGCTGCCCAAAAAATCGAGAAAAATCGTAACTCAGTTCATAAAAATCCTGTAAAAAATCTAACCAGCTCACGTAAACACTATCCACATAAAACATTTATACATACCGTTGCCGTATTTTTTCTTCGTTAGGGATCAAGAAAACTAAAATTTTCGTGCATTTGCTAAAGTATTGCTGTGCTGTCCACACATAAACAGTTGTATACTACAAACCTGTAGAAGTACAAACTTAAATTTTCAGCTCTCTACAAGCTTTGGTTCTCGAGAGATATCGAATATGGCTTTCCCTAGTCAGAAGGTCCAAGCCAAAATTCAAGAACTAAAGCTTGTAGAGAGCTGAAAATTTACGTTGTACTTCTACAGGTTTGTATTATAGTATACAACTACTTATGTGGGAACGGCACAGCATCACCTTGGCAAATGCACAAAAACTTCCGTTTTTTTGATTTCTACCAGGTAAAAAAAGACAGCAACGGCGTACATAGATGTCTTATGTGGATAGTGTTTACGTGAGCTAGTTAGAATTTTTGCAGGATTTTTATGAACTGAGTTACGATTTCTTAATTTTTCGGGCAGCTGAATCTTTTTAGTATTTTCTCGAAACTCAAGATCAATGAGAGCTGCTGCAACAAGACAGTCATTTTGTAGAGCTTGCTCTGCTCTATCGAATGCTACCCTGCAACCTATTCAGAAGTGAGAAGTGTATGACTTATTGCGGTTGAAATTCAAAACGGCCATCAATTTCCGGACAACCTAATACAACATGTATCAGAAGAGCGAGGAAAATGCGCATTACGGATACAAACTTCCGCATTTACCGAATAATATAAAATATTCAATTTTTCGCTTGGGGCGAGATTTTTTCACGCTATCACAATTATGTTGATAGTGCATTCTCTCTTTTCGACGTCCGTTATGTAAGTATTTACTTTTGCTGTGTCTTTGAAGTTTGCTACAGCTAATGGATTGTATTGGTTTTCCTACAATGCCCAGCCCATACACAGTGTTCATGTCTACTATTGCTTTCTGTGACTCTTTCTAACCATGTGTCACCTGATCAGTTAGTCGAACCAGAATATCACACGATTAACGTATAACTTACGTGAATTGAAGTGCCTTTGGGGACATATCTGACGTTTATCTCAACAAAATCGTAGCGCCTCTTCATATAGGAGACTCCAGCTTTGTGCCAAATCAGACAAAGCTCTCTGCCTTTCATGACTGTTCTTTTTTGTAATTGGTTGTATACTAACTTTCCACTACCAGCTTTTTGTATTTTCTTGCATCGTTTTTTGTACAACGGCATTACCTTGCGTCCAAACTAGTCGATAGATAATGTGATCAAGTACATCAATTAACGTACAGCCATCTGTATAGGAAAACCTTGAGCGCTGGTAGAACAAGAGAGCAGGTTTATCGTTTTATCGCGACAGTGTTGTTATAGCAAGCATACGATAACTGGAATCTTGATCAGTGAGGTTTTGCTAACATTGAGATAGAAAACAGAATAGAATAGTGGATTTGTTGTGTCCACTTAGGACGCATAGTTGGGGAGCGTTCTTGGACTGTAACGGCAGTCGTCATGTACAAACAAGTCACTAGAGCTCAAATGTTTTTATTTATGATCAAACCGTTCTGGAGGTGCAGAAACCTGTCTTTCACCTCTCTTTAGAAGATGATCGCGAATCACAAATCAAGGGTGTCGAAAACACGGTCAGATGTTTATCAAACAACTCCAAAACAGCTGAACGCATTTGTGTTAAACAGAACGAAGGAGTCACCTGGCAAAGTTGCGCGGATACTACATTTACCAAAAAAGCGTTCATTTAGTTAATGCGGCTTTTTAGGGGTTTTGAAGTAGCCGAAACATAACGATTTCCGGTTATTTGCGAGAACTCCGTTGCATAATTAACCGCCTTGACAAGAAGTAGAATATGTCATTTGATTGATTAGGTGTGCGGTGCTCTAATCACGAATTTGCCCTCACAACATCTTTCTGTAGCCTCCATTGTGTGAGTAAAGCTCCTTTGACTCATTACGAAAGCCTCTATATAGGATATAAATAGAAACTTGCATAGATGCATGACTTGTGTAAATTTCCCAACGGCCATGGTTTGCGGCGGTACACAAAGCGCAGCCAGTTTCACGCTTTGTTTCAAGTTTGTCTCACAAGCAGCTTGATACTAAGAGTGACCTTGTCGCGCGATTCGTTGCGTCATCAACCCCCGATCCGGTAGTGCTTTGAATCGACTGAAAATCGAATTGCAACTGATGCAGTCGAAGAAGAGCACGTGCACAGCCGTCGATAAGCGGCCATAGGAACTGTAAGTGAAGTATAACAGAAAATATAAGGAAGTGATTGTGTGCTAGCCATGGAGTCTGACACTGCACAATTTTGCCCTAGTCGGAAGAGCAGACGTTGTTGATCCATCTATTGTTTATTTATGTGAAAGCCATGAAGTTGTATGTAGTTTCAAATCAAATTGAAGCGACAACAGCTCTGGCCGCTCAAATTTGTACAACCTCACCTCAAATGTATGTGTAATGATTTTTAAGAAATACCCTTGTTCTTTTGCAAACTATTGGAGTCAACACAAACAACGCATTGTGAAATTGTAAAATACAAAGAGCCGCTCTTTGCTGCCAAATCTGGTGCAGCACTTGGTGCCGAACGACAGACGTGATGCGAAGCTGTTCTAGATGGGCTTTTCGAAAAATTGTCTACCATTTCTCCTGATCTGGATCTATTGAAAACCCTTCTTTTTGAAGAAGCGCGCTAGATTGCTTATGCGTCCAAGTAGACCACTAGATCGGGTAGATAGCGTTGTTCTGATCTTGACTCCAAGGTGACCCAATCCCACGATTGAAATAGTTAGAAATCAGAATCATATTCATCACTCCGACAGGCTCTTCCACGAACTCGATTATAATTCTAAGGAAAATATAAAATGATTGGTTGAAGTAGAAATCGAATCAGTAAGGAACTTGAGTTGTAGCAGCATTTTGATGGTTTGAAAATAATTTCCCGAAGCAGCGAAGCTTACCAAACAGCACATGATCTTAAACAAAATCAAAATATTTATTATGACGAGAATAGTATTTCTTTGAATAGAGCCGGTATTGAAGTATGGAGAAAATACACCTCGTCTTGTGGGCAAGTTTGAAAAAATTCGTATCCATAAACCACAGTTTTATTTATCTGTTGATGAGACATATCTACCGAACTACAGAAGATCGCAAATGAAACTTTGATGTTTTCTTTGCAGATCGTGCACTTTCGTAGTTTTCTTTGTTCGGCAACAAGCTCTAAACTATTGAGCACCCACAACATAAAAAGAGAGTCTCTGTCCAAACCGCTCAATAATTTTGTAACCGCTGGGCTTTTTCCCCACTACTCTTGCGTATATGTCAAATATGAGTAAGTACTCCCATCCAACTACGGTAGCTTCTCACCCGATTCTTCTAAAACTACCGTTTGAAATGGCAATCAGTATTCAACGCTTGAAACAATTTTTTCTGCATGCAGTGCGAGTCACTTTTTAAGAGAAGAGTTTTGAGTGGATTGCCTATGAAAACGCTGCTATTTGGTTCGTCCTTCGTACAATGTCAAATCTATTCGTTTAAGGATGAGCCGCTTCCCGCTGACGTCTACTGGAGTCTTCCTTTCAACATGATGATAAAGAACCAGCAAGTTTTCGTCGCTTGTCACAAGATTTACGGCAATCTCAAAATCAACCAGCACTAGCACCCTAGCACTCACGTGGTATTTCTATCACTATCGTCTTGCACTTGTTTGTACATACGTTAATCACAGTAGTGGATTTGAATGAAGATTACTTCTTTTTTTCTGCTTCTCTACGGCAGAGCTAAGTGTTTAGGCGGTTATGCCCCCAACTGGGGGTATTATAATTGGCATAGGAATATTGGCAAAATCTACTAACTTTTTGGGATCGCAAAACATTTTGCGCGTTGGTCAGATAATAACTTCATGGACAGAATTTGCCCGAACATCCACTTAAGCTTTAAGATGAGCATTTTGCGATAGCGCGGGAACAAAGAATGCCCTTTTTTCCCAAGCGATTGGAAACTGCAATGCACTACATAGAGTGAGCCAGTCTGAGCGTGGCGCAAATTTTCCAGCGTTCGTTTTGGATCATTTACGTCTGGATACGAAGAAAAAGTGTGTAGATTGGCCAGAGCGACGCATATAACCATATTTGTTTTGAATGCCAGTTGACATTTTGTCCCAGCACGTGTTGCAGGCCGCCATCGGCGGCGCAAACGAGTTCCACCGCCTCGAAAGGGGGCACCAGCAAATCCTCCCAGATTCGCCTGGACACAATGCGCCTCACGCGTACAATGCCATTCACACTTACTAGGGGCTAGATCAAAGAGGACAGATTCACTTGTGATTTCGTGCCGACCAAACTGGTTTCGCTCTTACTGTGTCGCTTTCTAGTCGATCATTCATTACACATCGTTCATGTGCGACACTGTTCTACAGCACACAAAAAGGGTTCCAACATAACGTCCTGAACAGAATAGACAAAGATGAGTCGTGCGAGCCTTGCGCACGAAAAAAATATGCCCGTGAAGGATCGCTGACGTCGTTCAAGGAATAAGCAACAGCGAACGATAAAAAGGGCATGATAAATAGCATCGCTTTCTCAATTTTTTGCACACAAGAAAGTGCTACGTAAGCAGTGGCAAGTTGCCAACTGATGGAGACCCCTTCAGTAAAACAGATGCGAAGTACGTGCTTGTAAGGATACCCACTATTCTATCTTCTTTGACACGATTCGATCTGATGAAGAAACAATCCAATGCTAATGAATATGTGACATAAAATTTAAGAAGAACTCGTTGTTGCCAAAGCAAGCATGTTGGCTACTTCACGAAAAAAAACCAATTTATTATCTTTCATTGTTTTATGCACTTTAATAACTCAAGCACTGGTGCACAGTATTCGGTATTCGCGATTCAGAAAATTCATCACCTCCACAGTCGTAAATAAAGTATCGTACAGGTTGCGAGTTTGAATAGAGCGTCTACAATTGGAAATGTGTTTTGAGGAACACTCGAGAAAAACGCTGCTTATTTTTAGAATTGCCACTAATGCGAAAACGTCCGCTTCCTTTGCTGTATGATCTACAAAACGTTCTAATTCGATCGAACTTGATAACAAAAAATGTCATCGTTGTCTCCAGGAGAAAAAATTTTGGGAGAAAACCATACTGAACTAATAGTTCGAGTGGTTGTTTACATGAAAGTACTCTTCATCAAGCATGCCGCTTCCTGTATTGGACTTCAGAGATTGCTCCCATGAAACACTTTGAAACCGGCAAATTTTGCTTGAACTAGAACATGACCAACATCAGGAATAGTTCAGTGAAGGATACCGCGCATGCTCTTACTATGACGCCCAAAGCTCTCTCCTCCACTCCTAGTTTCATGCTAGGATTGATTTCATTTAGTCTAACTAGCCGCACTAGTGATCAAGTCGTGTCTGTTCAAAAGCAAGCAGAGTAGAGAATAATTTTTGTACAGTTCAAAAAAGGACTCTAATAAGGTATGTATAATCCAAGGTGCAGGAGTCAGACCTTTGCTTTTTGAGCGCTAAGACGAAGAAGCGAAGGAAATAGTGCCGAAAGCGTGCGAGTTATTGAGCGGAAGACAACGTCACCGACCGAAGGATCTGAAACGGCGTCGTACGTCAAAAACTCCACGAAGACGTTCGCGATGCGCGATATTTCTGGAGGGCACCTACCTTCACGTCATCAGGTGGGTCCGCCTCCCAACGAGAGATCGAGAGGCGGAGGGCGAGAAACAGCGGCGTACAGTGAAAAGGCGTCGCGAGGAATCTTCCAGTAGTGATACGGTGAACATGGTGCGACACCTCGTTCCTCTTATTCTCGTCCTCTACGCCGCACTGCCCTATCAAATTCATGGTGCTGAAATTTCTGTACGAATTGAGAGACACTTTCCGTGTTCGGCCAGCTCAGGTTGTTTCGTTTTTCCCGTGTTCTATTCTATCATTGCATCAGCGATTCTTGCGCAACGTTTATTTCTGCTACCGTGTCGCCGTCAAGTAGTTTTTTCTAACTTTGACGATCGATTAAGTGAATAATGATAGCAATGTACTTTCAATGGTAGCCAATTCAAGTCTCGCTCGCGTCCTTGGTGATTTTGATCAGCATCCTATCATTTACTGTGCATCGACCGTTGCTTTTTGCTTGAGAAACGGAATTACCTTATCATAGTATTTTTCTTCAATGCTGATGTGCAGATGGCAGTTGGCGACTCAATTTGACTGCTCTGCAGTTCAAACATTTCGTGGATCTGCTACGTATATTGCTAGCCTTTCAATAGTTTCTTTGCTATAGCCTTGAAGGACAATTTGAATATTTAATTCAAATGATCAAGCTTACATCTGCACATGCGTAAATATAAATCATTTTTGGTTTTGACTGCCAGGTTGTAGGAAACACCTATCTGACGAATTTATAACTTCTATTGAACTTCTCTTTTCCTGCGCTTGAAATAACTCTACATAATCTAATTTATCGATTTATATCCTCTATGCCTAAGTGTTGTATAACATCAGGATGCTTAATTTCGATAGGAAATTGTACGTTGCACGGGTACTTTCTTGCCGGTGTGAATCAGCGCATTGCGTTGACCCATTGATGCGTAACATTGGAGTGCGTGACCTCGAAACAGGAATCCGCTATTGCAAGTCGCCGATTCCAGATTCGCTCCAATACTTCGATCCGATCAGCTCCTTACGTGCCTTTCAAAAAGACCCACTCCTAGCCAAATAATGAGGCGCACTGAGTGATCTGCTTTTAGGCCCTAAAAAGGAGAATCTCCTCATCAAGTTCCCCTCATACAAAACTGCTGGAGTGGAGTTTCATGAGGAGACAAACGCACAGGGACACAAATGCTTCCGAATGAGTGGAGGCAAAGTGGAGGTTGGTGTTGATCGATGTACTTCCGCCCAGTCGCATTAAAACCTATAAACACCGTCGACGTTACCGAGATGCGTCCGTAATGTCTGCGCACAGCTTCAAATATCCTCGTCCCCTTCTAGGTGTTCCCTCCTGGTCTCTCCGGATCGAAGAAATACTACGTTCATCTTGAAACTCGCATTGGTATCCATGGAAAACCCGAGAGATGCGTAAATGCCGATAGCAATGGATGCGGAGGAATCGGTTCATGGTGAGGAAAGAGCATTCTCTCAATCATCTTACCATTCTATAATATTCACGGAAATATCAATTATTTCAGCGTTCATTGTGATATTTGCGAGACGATGGGTGGCTCTTTGAAGAACTTCGTTCAAATTTTCCAAGGAAATAAGCCAGCGCAGTGTTCAAGTCAGGTGAGAGAAAACTTTGTTGGGTATGGTGTGAATTCAATATCGCGGAATTAGTGAATGGGTGACTCAATAGGAGACGTTTGGTTGGTTTATCAGCAGTCGCAGTCTTCTCTAAGGTATCTGCTATGCACATGGAAAGTGAGGACTGCATTACAAGAATTTTTCACAAGGGTAAAAGGACCATTTTCAAATTGTTTGAACAGTGATTTTCGCTACTCAATGTCTATGTTCCGGTCGAAATACTAGAGACCAACAAAAAGTCAGAGCATTTCCACCATCTCTCTTTTTCCAAAAGTTTTGTCCTTGTAAACGCCAAAGAACTCATTGAATGAGAAGCTTTCCAAATCTTTTTACTGTTTTCAATCAGAAGAGGTGACAAAAATGATATGATTTGTATTCTTTCGTCCTTCAAGTTAATGCTTCTCATATTTTATACCTCAAATCAAAGAACAGTACAATGCTCATGCTCTTTTGGCATAAGATGCATGCGCGACTGTTGGAAAATTTCTTCAAACTTTGGAGTCTCAAGTGAACCCTATTCTCCAATCAACTGTCATTGTGGTCACTGTCTAAAATCTAGGAAGACATACATTTATCAAAAAATGTGATTAGATGCCAGTTCTGAATTTTCCATCCAATCAAAATGATGCAGAATACAAAGAACCTCGCTTCAAGGGAGCCGATGTTGGCATGTTTTGGCGTCATGTCGCCAAAAAGCTGCCTTGTGCTTAATTGCGAATAGACAATCTCATCCCCGATGCATCTTTAGCTTCGGAAAGGCTGGCGAAAAAAAAATGCCCCGCAATCCTGTTCACATCAAGTCGCTTTGTTCTAGCAAGCAATGTTCTCGTACGCAGCAAAAACAACCTAAAGATTGGGACTATTTCGTTGAGCAAGCTTAGTAAAACAAAATGAGCAATTTTGGCTTTGCTTGCACCATGTAAAATATTTATGTGCCATTGACATTTTTGCATCTTCAAAGTCTTCTTTAGGGCCTACCAGCAGGTAACTACAATGATCTCTCCCTAAAAGTTTGTTTACCCACTAAGAACGAACTTCTGCCTTTCTTAGACCAGGTTGGATTTTCTACATTTCTGCCCTTTCTATTCATCCTTGTGTTATGATTATATGTTGGTTCTAGAATGCCAGCCGAGCTGAACAGCTGTGGGACCTCTTCGTGAGCTCACGAGCAAGATCTGGGGTAAAGACCACATTGTAAAAACTTTGTAAATGCTCCACTATCGTTTCTTCTGTGTTTACAGGAAATTCCACTTGTGATTGCTGCTCGTATATTCAACCGTCCAATCAACAATCTGAGCCCGAAAGAGATGAACGATCTCTTACATGACTCAAAAGACGGAATGATTGGTTGTCACTGGATCTACGCAACTGTATCACAACAGAATTAGATTATTCGATCACATAGACTACTCGTCTGCAGCGAAAGTTTGCTAGCATCCTTGCCTATCTCGTTATCCTTTGATCGTCTCTCTTTTTTGATTCGGGTATGTCACAACCCTTCCTTGACCGTCGTCGTGAACTCGTCGAACGCCCTTGTGTTGTACATTTTGACACCTATCGTCTATTCATCGGAAGACCCCATGTTCAGTATTGTGCTGCTAGATATTGAAATAAACTCAGTTTTTCAATTCAAAATAACTATGAACTGCTAAACAGAGGTTTCTCGACTGTTTTGGTAACCAATAAAGGCAGGATTCGGGCAAATTTTTAATTGAGTGTAGGGCCCCAATCTGTTATTGTAAAGCTTCCGAACAGTACCCCCTCCCTCCCCTCTCACTTATATTGGGCGCCAACCTCCTCGAGTAAATTTCCTCACCTTTCACACACTTTCACATGGGAAGAAGAATCGAATACCTACCGTTTACCTGTTAATGCTTGCCTTCGACAAGGATAAAGAGGCACTCGTCCACGGTTTCACAAAATAACCTCAAAAAAGTTTTTTTAGGGCTCACGCTTTTTGAGTGCCATATTGGGAATTCGGGGCATGAAAAGGTTCAGAGTAAGACAAAGAGATGGAAATCGAGAGCTTCCCCGGATGCTGCGCTTACTAAAAGTAACGTCAGCGTTAGGTTCGCACAAATTGAGCGCTTATTTTTTTTCACTCATTCCAGCAAAAGTTGCGATTTGGGTTCTTACCCCTTTACTTTTACTCTCGGCACACGATAATCCCCTCACCCAAGAATGAGCCCGAAAGACTATCAAATCACAGTCACTTAAGTTTTTGCATAGCAAAATAAATGTTCAAGTACGTGCAGTTCTGCCTTAGCTATCAGATTTTATATCGTCATTTCATTTCTACCCTCTTTTTCCATTTCTTTCAGCCTGACGAAGTATAATCGTTGACTATAAACGGGATGAAACAAATGTAAAACTGTACTTTTGAACAGTTTCATTTTCATCTTCCTGTATGATGAGAATATCGACATTTTCCCGTTGGAAAAAAAGTTGAGAAAGAGACAATGAAACATTTAGTGTCGGTAAAAATAGAAGATCAAGTCTATCGAGATTTATATACAGCAGTCCCGCTTTTGCAGTTCTTTGAAGGAAGAAAGAAAAAACTGAACAAAGAGGAATTCTTTGAAAAAGTGGGTTTGGCAGCAAAAAGTCTTCATAAATCACTGCTCAAGAGAGCTAGAAAATATCGACAATCTCAACTATCCCTTATGCCCTGAGCTTTTAGGGTTTCATTCATGGGGGCTGTATTCTCGGCTCCAAAAATTCCTTGCTCCGTTGAGCCATAAAAGCCAAGCCATTGAAGGAGAGCGGCGAGCAAGCCAATCGTGAATATCTCCACCTTTAGAGCGACAAGCTTTTTCATCTCGCTCATATACCCCCTAAAAGCTTAGGAAATGAAGATTCAAGATAGATGGTCAAGCCTTTTCCTAGTCTCTCTCTCTCTCCCTCCCTCTCTCTCTCTCTCTCTCTCTCTCTCTCTCTCTCTCTCTCTCTCTCTCTCTCTCTCTCTCTCTCTCTCTCTCTGGAGATACGTTGCATTTCTCTAAAAATATGTGATTTTTTACGACTTTTTGTAGAAGTGCTGATCGAGCAGTATATTTCTAACAACATAAAAGAGGTATGCCAAACAAATAGCTTTCATCAGCGTTGCAAAAATTGAGCACACAGGTGATTATACAAAATCAAATGATGTCTCAGGCTGGCAAATTTCCCCATATCTCACTGCACAGCTGAGCTATGGGGCATTCGAGATATCGTAACGATAGCACAACCGCGCGCGACACGCACGCACTTCCGGCAACCGCATTTGCTTGGTTTCCATACCTACTCGAATGGTTTTCTGCTTAGCTATGATAGTATTCAGAAAATGAAAGTGACTGAGCTGAGCACTGAGGTGATGCCTTTTTGTGTGAGTGTTTTATGCTCGTGTGGTTGCAAAGACTGCCGTAAAATCCGTCGTCACGATTTTATGAATGACTTATAGAAAGAAGTCGGCGGTCTGCACCATTTGCTGCTTATGCCCTAAGCTTTCCAATGGTATATCAGTTGAGAATGGAGCTTTCCTGCTTCAAAAGAGTCCTTCGTCGGTCTGCTTTTCTGAGTTGAAATTCAACCTAGGTGATGAGAAATATTGCGCAAATTGGAATGCTCTTATGCTATCTCGCAGCGCATTTTTTTCATTGACCCTCCAGCAGTTCTCACACAAATCTGGTAAATAAAGCTGAATGTCTGTTTGTATGAACGTCTATATGCCTATATGTATGTTCCGAAAATTACATTTCTGAGCCGATCAGGACCGCTTTACACACACATATAATTCTGGGCGGGCGAGTGTCATAGGCTACTTTTCGTTATCGATAGATGTCGATTATTGATTTTTTGCCTTTGAGCTACGGTTCTGGGAGTTCGCACGGGGGGGGGGGAGGTAAGTGAGCATGCTGATTACGAATATATTATTGATAGGGCCGGGCGGAGTCGGCTTTCCAGCTAGTTAATCACAAATCTCCAACCTCTCAATCACACGTCGAAATCACACGCTGCTCGGGTTCATTCTTGTAGAGCAATTCGCATTGAGCCAGCTTGTAAACTTGGAAAAATATAGCTGACTAGCTGGCTTACCCGGCTCCGCCGTATGTTCCGAATAGAAAATTCCATTTCTGAACCGATCCGGACCAAACTTGGCACACATAATTACACTTCGGTCCCCGGCGGGTGTCACAGTCCACTTTTCGTTATCGATCGATGTCGATTTTATCGATTTTTTGCAAAATTTGAGCTAGGGGGCTGGAATTTGGCAGAGGGGTGTAATCGAGCATGCTGATCACCCCCACGGGGGTGATCAGCATGCTCGAATACCCCCCTGTGCCAACTCCCAGCCCCTGCAAAAAATCGATAAAATCGACATCGATCGATAACGAAAAGTGGACTGTGACACCCGCCGGGGCCCGAAGTGTATGTGTGCCAAGTTTGGTCCGGATCGGTTCAGAAATGGAATTTTCTAATCGGAACATACGTACAGACATACATACAGACAGACAGACAGACAGACAGACAGACAGACAGACAGACAGACAGACAGACAGACAGACAGACAGACAGACAGACAGACAGACAGACAGACAAACAGACATTCAGCTTTATATATAAGATTGTTAATGTGCGGGGCTACATTCGCACACTGCTCCTCCAATCTCAGGATTGACGTATGAGTGTCTCTGCAAAAACTCATTTTCGCCGATGACATCGCAATATCCTTGCGAATTACGGACAACGCATTCGAGGAAGTCTCGTTTGCTTCCACATTGCTGGCCAAGACTATAGGTCCACCTTGAAACTGCCGTAACTCACTTGATCTTGACGAATTAATCAGAAATTTGCTACAGATGTGTGCTTAACAGCCTACAGTTAGTAATCACAAATGGTTCCACTTATTTCGTTTATCAGGGGAACAATCAAAAATTTTGGAAAAAGCAGCTTTGAAAGCTGGCCAAAACTATAGGTTTACCTGAAGTCTCTATTCACCAAACTGGTTTTCTTCCAAAGTTTTTTATGCAGCTACATAGTCAAAAGTCGAAACAGTCGCTTCAGTCCAGCTATGCCATACCTTTATAAAAAAGGCTTATCTGCTATTTTTCACCTGAAAATACTTTCACATGTATTTTCTACCTAAAGTGTGTTTGTATAGTAACTTCGCGTTTTTAGCAGGTTAGGAAGCGATAGGGTTTCATTCATCTCATAGATGCTTAGCGAAGTGAGCATTAGAAAAAACTTGAGTTATCGTATCTACATCGCGCCTGACATAGGACCTGACCGCAGGCCTGCGCTCGAATTTCTGCTTTCAAACCCTCTCTCTTCCTGCATGTTCTCATGAGTATGAAGTGAAGTAATGGCATTGTTTATGTGAACAAGAGTATGTAATGGTTGCTGGTTTCTACAAATCCTAGCATACACGCATAATTGCGCGAATCATCCTGCGAAAACTGCTTACAACAAGCCCTAAAGTTCTTTCTAACTTTGGTTAAAACCTTGATGTGAGTCACGTGGAAACATACAATAAAGAGCGTTTTCACTATTTAGCAGCTGTATAGTGCTAAAAAATCAAAAAAGGTGACATTTGGTAAACTATTTTGTGACTGCTTAGCATTATCATTGAACTACGAGACTTGTGGCTTGAAAAGAAAATGCACGCTAACAACCGTGAGTATAATGTCCAATTTTCTTTATTTGTAAGTTATGCTTCCACTTTATTTTGCTTGCAAAAATAGTGTAAAATATTTTGAAGGCAGAAATTTGAGCGCAGGCCTGTGGTTAGGTCTATGTCAAGTGTGCTTTAACCATAAAAACTCAAACTTTTTTCTAGTGCTCATTTCGCTAGGAATCTACGAAATGATTGAAACCCTATCGCTTTCAAAACTGCTGAAAAACCCCAAAATCACCTATACAAACACATTTTCAGGAACAAAATAAATGTGGGAATACTTTCAAGTGAAAAAAGCAGGTAAGCGTCTCTCATGAAAGTGTGGCACAGCTAAACTGAAGCGAGTGTTTTGATTTTTGACTGTGTGCGTGCACAAATGACTTTGGAAGAATCACTTTTTTGAATAGCTTTAGGATCCACAGTTCTGGCCACCCCTCAAGCCTGATTTTCCAGAACTTTTAATTTTTCTGAATGATTAAACGAAAGCGAGACTCACTTTGGTTGGCAGTAGGTTGATCGACACGTAGCAATTCGTGGGATAGTTTTGTTCAGCAGTGTATAAGTTTCTAATGAAAATATTTTGTTATAAGAAGATTTCTTTATTATTCATAAAATTGCTCTTCGTTCTCTAGGATGTTTATCGAACGTGTGAAATTGGGTTTATGAGTTACAGTAGAATAATGCGCAGCTTCCCCCCCCCCCTCCTCTCCCCCGCTATTCTTATTGCTAGTAACCATACAACGCAGACTCACTTCGTTGAAGAACAATCACCAACGTCTCTGCCAAAATATGGTGGCTACCGCACATATCTTGGGAGTGTTGCAAAAGTGGAGGCCCTAAAAAAGTTCCATAAAATTTTTTTCATCAACTCACTTGTGAAAGAAATTTCTTTCGGGTATGGCATTCAAGAATACGGTGTTGGCTATAGCTAGAAGCCACCTTAGAATATCACAGTAATTTGCTTTGTTTCGGATAAAAGTTTCTGAAAAACCACTATTCTGTGTGTAAACCAACACTATATCACTGTCCAGAACGGCTTCCAATTTCACTAGTTCTGTCCGAAAAACTGAGAAATTTGAAAAAACGTGTTCCGAAGAGTGGCCCAGCTTTAAGGCCACCCCCTATTTCTAAGCAATATTACATTCTTTGGACCTGGAAGTTTCTGTACAGTTACAGCATCAAAATATGAAACATTTATTATACTTGGGACCTGTCGCCTTTAAAAAAAAATATTACAATTTTGCTTGAAAATGCATGGAAAGTTACAGTGTTTCAAAAAACTGCTAGTTCGCTGAGATTTTATGCACTCATTCAACTTGGATGAAGCATCAGAATATGCTGAACCTTTCTAACGAATGTGGTGAAGAACGCTTGAGTCAGCTTTGGGTAGATGTTGATATGCCATGTGTGTAAGCACGCCAAGCCAAAACCTCGATTTCTGGCTCGCGAAAACTTCTGAGCGAAAGTTGACATTTTGTTTGCATGACGGCGTTTTCATGCAAAATTGCCAGAATCTTCGCAAAGACGCAACTGCAACATTGGAGTAAAACCTTCATCTGCAGTTCAGTTGTGCGCAGTAACTCTAATATGACTCTAAATCTTACTTCTTCTAATTCCTCATCAAGTCAAATCTTAAGGAACTGCTAGAAATACTAAAATTTTAAGGTTTTAAACGGATTTCCATCCGGTCGAGCGGACAGGGTTGTGAGTTATTCAGGGTCAAGCAAAAGATGTGGCACACGATCGCTGTTAGACCCCCTCCCTCTAATTGCTGTCTCAATAAGATCCCCTGAACAATATACCTAAGATAGCATTACTTGAAGGCCCTGTCAAACATAACGGGCAACATATAATTAATCCCTGTAGACAATGTTTGAGCGAATTCTGAAGTTTCAAGATACTAGGTCACTCAATGAAATCGCCATTTTTCAGCATGATTAACTTCGTTTCAAAGATAAAGTAGCTAGCTGTTCTTTGCACTCAAGACAAAGCACTACTCCTTCTTTGGCCAATTCAGAAATCTCGATTCAAGAGACCTCCTAACTTTGGAATTAGAAGCCAACCAAAATCTTTGTTTCCTATTTTTCGCTTTTAAAGGCAGTACATCGGCAGAATGAGACCCGTGACAAAACAAGGTCACAGGGTAGGAGCCCCCATATGGAACCTATCGGCCAAAGTCCGATCTTTCTCTGCCACTTCTAACCCCCGAAATTTCAAAGCGAAAGCAGCGCTCATCTCCTCTCCTCTCCGAACCCACCCACCCCATGTACGAGTGACTTCCGCGGTCAGAGCGCCAGCCGCAATGCTATAAGCATGAGGTCCCGCAACGACTCTGCGTCTTCGCCATGACGGGCTTCGCGTTCACTCGTCCATGGGGTGTGCGGGTTCGGAGTGGACAGGAGATGAGCGCTGTTTTCGCTTTGAAATTTCGGGGTTAGAAGTGGCAGAGAAAGATCGGACTTTGGCCGATAGGTTCCATATGGGGGCTCCTACCCTGTGACCTTGTTTTGTCACGGGTCTCATTCTGCCGATGTACTGCCTTTAATGGCTGTGCTTTCACCAGATATTACTCAGAGCTAAAAAGACAAATCAGGCCCAAATCACTCCTGTGAAATCTACGAGGTCTAAGCGCTGTGGCTGCCACAGCTTTTTTGGGGTGGTGCCACACCCCACTAACTTACCTTCAAACAGATCAAATAGCAGCGTTCTTTATATCGTTCTTACTGCTTGACCTTCTTCTTTACATAGCAGAAATTTCATATGAAAACGTTCTTCAAGAGCAAGATATAATCGTTTTTCCTTACCTTTGCAAATGTAAAATACTGGTGAAATACTGCGAAAATATTGGGATACGGTAACATGTCAAGTCTGCGCTACTACGTGAATCGCAAGAGAAGGCGACGAGAATGTGTGTATTCGATAGCCTAAGCCTCTTAATCTATATTAAAGTGATTTGAGCCTGATTGGTCTTCTCTAGCCTGAGATAATGAAAACGAAAAATGGAACAGACGAGATTTTGGCTTGCTCTTAATTTCTTAGTTTGGAGGTCATTTGAAGTAGGATTCCTAATGTGAGCAAAGAAGTAGTAGTTCTTTGTATTAAGCGCAAAAAGAAGTAGTTAACTTGCCTTTGTAACATGTTTGAACGACCATCTCACTTGGGTGGTCTTGTATTTGGAAACCTCAGAATTCGCTGAAACTTGAACCACAGGGGTTATTTTGCTAATCACAAAACGATGCTCATATGTTTTATGAATCTTTAATTATGCTTACTTTACATATGCGATAATGGATCAAACATCAACGTGCTAGTATTTTGCATGCCGGCCCTATTTGACATTGTTAACGAATATCATGTTATGCAAACAGCGGACGCCTTTATAACGACCCCCCCCCCCCTCCCTGATTCCTCAATACGACACCCCAGGGTGGCATGCCACACCCCACGCTCGATCCTGGTTATGATTATCCAGAGCGTGTTATTCATTTCTGAAGGAACAGCGCTCAATCGAAACTGGGCTTCTGAAAGTTGCGATGATGTTCCAGCAACGCGCAAGATTTCGTTGTACAAACGACGAACTGGAAACATGGCAGAGGTTTTCGGGCATCAGAAGTCAAATTCTGTGGTTCGAAAGCTTTCTACTTGAAGGTGAGGCTGAGGCTCGGTCATCAATTTTAGCGACTACGCAGAGTTGACTCTAGCGCCCTTCACCGCATTCATTGCAAAGGCTCAGTGAATCCTAATACCTTCATCTGAGTTATATAAGTGCTTGAAAATTCGGTAAACAAGCATTTTTTGAACTAATGTGAGTTTCTATGCAATTTGAAGAGGAAAATGCAGTAAATATTTTCTTTTTCAAAAGCGACAGCTTCCAAGTGTAAAAAAATGCTTCGCATTTTGATGCTGTAACTGTGCAAAAAATTCTAGGTCCAAAAAATGTAGTTTTGCTCGAAAATAGGAGGTGGCCTTATAGCTGTGGCCAGCCGTCTGAACACGGTTTTTAAATTTTTCAGTCTTTCTCTGGACAAAATCAATGAAATTGAGAGCCGTTTTGGGCAATGATATAGCGTTAGTTTACACAAAGTATAGTGCTTCCAAACATACCAGACAGAACAGGTTACCGTGATTTTTTAGGGTGACTTTATAGCTATGGCCAGCACTGTATAAGCCTGCTGGGAATTTGGAATAGAACTATTCCGCATCAAGTTATAGAACTTAAAAGTAGCAAAATGTGGAACCCTCCTTGCTAGTGCAAGTATTAGTTCAGCACTAAACATTTATCGAGACCGACTTCTTGGTGAAAATTTGGAAGTTTGATGCGGGGACTGATACCGCCTCCCAATCAGTCTCGCACACGAATAAGTTCATTAAGCAAGCCTCTGCTGCTAGAAACTCAATTTGACACTCCAGCCGCAAGTAGAGCTTCTCGTCCACTCTCATGTTTTCTGGAAGTCACACATCATCATTTTCTTCTCTGTCTTTCGAACCGTTCAATCATGAATCCAATCTGTACTACGCAAATTTGAATTTGAACATAATATAGCTGGGCAGTGAATTCAGAACAGTGTTTAGCTTGAATTCAGAGCAGTGTTTAGCTAGGAAAGGCAATGGAGTGATAGGCACCTCTAACACGACCATTATGAGATCGAGAGCAACAAAACCATTTTTCGATTTCGAGATTTTTTTTTCTTTTATAAAAAACTTTTTTTTCTTCTAATTTTGCGTCACTGCTTCACACGTCCCGAAATTTTTTGCAAACAATGATTTCTGACTTCTTTTGCTGACCAAAATTGATTAATGCCGCGAATTTGAGTGACGAGAACCTGCGCCACGTAATCATTTTAGCGTTTCCCGGTCTTTCTAGCTGTTATGCTTCCAACAATATGAACCACTCACAAAATTTTATCTGCATCCATGTTCAAGGAGGATATTAATGCTATGCACGAAAACGGTGCTACAGTTTATTTGAAGCTTCAGCGTACGAGTAACACTATTTGGCCCTCTATACGGGCTATGGATAAAAAATCTTCTCGAGCTCTAATGCTCATACTTACCACTTTCACATATCTGCTTCTTGGTGCTGCCGTATTTGATGTACTCGAAAGCGAAACGGAAAGATACGTTCGCGAAGAAATCGCCTTTGTACAGGAAAAGCTTCAAGCAAAGTACAATTTTTCCGTTAGGTGAATCTTTGGTTATTTCATTTTCTACTGATTATGGCATTCAACCTTAATACAAGTTATAAACAAAGTAATTGCAATCAATGCTTTGCTTCAGAGACATGCAACTTTTCGAATCCGTAGCTGTTAAGAGCATTCCCCATAAGGCTGGCTTCCAATGGCAATTCACAGGAGCATTCTACTTCGCAATAGTTGTGATTACTACTGTAGGTGAGTGCTATTCAGATAGAGATCATGCGGCACACGCATCCCCTTTCAATTTTTTTGTTCCCTTGCAAGTCAGTTTACAGGATACGGTCATTCGGCCCCCGAAACAACAGCCGGACGATTTTTCTGTATGGTGTTCGCCCTGGCTGGCATTCCACTAGGCCTTATTATGTTCCAGTCAATTGGTGAACGTGTCAATACATTCATAGCCTTCTGCCTCCATCAGGTTACATATTTGCCACGGACTTAGTTTAGGGCCGTGCAAGTGAGCCCGGTTTCCTAGGTTTAGTTGCAGCTCAATCTACAAAAACGGGGATACACTTGGATGCGAGAAGTTGCAACAAAACATCTTCTTCTAGTCTCGCTTTCCATAGGAACAAGCATAATCATAATTGGTTAATGAAGTCAATTCACATTGATCGGATGTAAACCGCTATTGCTTAGGTACGGTAGTTTTCCACAGGGAAGAGCGCTGGACACTTTTTGATGCCTACTACTACTGCTTCATAACACGTAAGCTCTGGTCTACTGAGAATTTTCTCATATTTCTTTTGACATTCTTTTGTAGTATCCACCATCGGTTTCGGTGATTTGGTACCGCTGCAGCAAGGATCAGCTCTTCAGCTCCGCCCTTTCTACGTTGTCTTCACGTTGTTATTCGTGGTCCTCGGGCTGGCTGTTTTCTCTGCTTGTGTAAACTTACTCGTTTTAGGGTGAGTGTTTAATGATTTGATACAAATTGTGGGAGTAAACAAGGTTGACAGTGAACTGTAGAAATCGCGGCCTTGCAGCTCCCACACCAAGACCTTTCGACCTTTCGTAAAACATCGACATCGGATTCTTATGACTTCGCATATTTTCTCAAAAAGGTTGACTTTCGGAGAGACCTACTATTATAAGGGCATTATGGAAATCACGTGGCATGCCATATGAAAGTAGTGCAGTTGCAAGAAATTCTAATGTGTATCCTTTTCACAAAACAACTACCTACTTCTTCATCCCCTTATCAAGGATATCCACCGAAAAATATTGCTGCGGCAGTGGTAAGTGCTCGCTTGATGTACGGAAGATCGCATGTTCATCCTTTCACATAACCAGCGGTTTTGCCTTCAACCCCACAGTTTTATGCAAACGTACCGCAGACCAAATTCAAGAACGACAATTTGATACCACGCTGACCGCTATATATCTCTTTCCGAATGACCACTTCGAATGATAGTGCTTTCCTTATTAGCCTTTACTCTCCGTCTTCGGTAGTGATTTCGTCTTCCACCTTACGATAATTTTGCAGTTCTTAGAGGAAACTGTCATTTACGTTTCCTTGTTTCAACGAAAAAAGAGGAAGTCTTAAGAAGTGCCGAAGAGACCTCTACGAATATCAGTGCCCTGACTGTACTATTGAACGAAGACGGGACGCCGATTTCTTCTCGATATAGTATGGAATCTATCGCGAAGAATCTCTACACCAGCCTCTTTCGCTCATCAGCCACCGTGCCGATGTTCGTTGTTCCCACTGCAGAGATACCACCACAATTCTACCTGCTAATTGCGCACAGCGATTCTGAGCATGAAGACGTCCACGGCTCCAGGACCAGGAAATCTTTCCCTTGAATTTCTCTTTCATTCGAATTTGTCGTACTTCTCTTCGAAGGGCGAAGGGGAGGATCTTCGGAACTACTCTCCAATACGCATGCTGAGTGTGCTGTATAAGCTTTTCAAGGAGGTTATCCTCGCTCGCATATTTAGGACACTGGATGAAGCCCAACCCCAAGTACAAGCTGGATTTCGCTATAGGTTCAGCTGCATGGACCATATCCAGATGGTTTCGAGGGTCAATGAAGTCTGCCGTGAGTACCGACTGCCTCTCGTCCTAACCTTCGTCGACTACGAGAAAGTCTTTGACAGTGTCGAAACCAACGTCATCCTGTCATCGCTAGTCTATCAATGGACTCAGCTTATCTGAGGACGTTAGTCGACTGCTACAAGGACTGTACAAGACGATGCAACTATTTCATTGCCTCCTGACCATCCTTGGAAGGTCCGACAAGGTGAATGGTCTCGCCGAAGCTGTTCAGCGCTGCCTGACAGTGAATGGTGATCACTGGACTATAACGAGAGAGGCATACGAGTTGGTGGGAGATTTCTGTCGAACCTTCGTTTGCGGACGACATCGTTCTCTGCGAAGCAGAGACGATGCTGAAGGAACTAAACGAAGTAGGGAAGAAGATGGATTGCGAATAAATTGGAAGAAGACTCAGTTCATGAAGAATGGCTTTTGCGAAGATGCAGAAATAGAAGTGGAAGGCACCCCTATCATGAAAACGTCTTTCTACTTGTATCTTTCGATGAACATGGAGAACGACTTGAGGGAAGAACTTAACAGGAAAAGAAGAGCAGCCTGGGCGGCCTTCGGGCCTTTGAAGAAAGTCACCGACCAATTGACGGACCCTAAGCTTCGTGCCCACCTTTCACTCAACCGTTCTCCCGGAGCTCTGTTTCGCAGCTGAGACTTGGGCCGACACTGTAGCCACGTCGAAAGCTCTACGGACTATCCACAAGGGTTTGAGCGCAGTCTTCTGAAGATCCGACACAAACAACATTTTGTCGGACTTCGTAGTGCGGATTTGAGAAGAATGTCCCGTCTTCCTGACCCAGCGGATTACGTTGCGAAAGCGAAACATCGATGGGCCGGTCACATCATGAGAAGAACAGACGACAGATGGACACTAAGAACATCTGAGTGGACTCCTCGTGAAGCCAAACGTCCCCGAGGAAGATCACCGACGAGATGGGCAGCCGTGTTCATGGAACGGATGAACCAGCTGAGAAATCAGCTGGATACGATTTTCCCACCTGGAACTCGTGGACGCAGCAACCGGCGTCAACTAAGAAGATTGTGGATGTCTGAAGCGAGGGATAGGGATAAACGGAAACTTCTGTGCTGGGGCTCGCGTCACGTGAAGTCGGGCCATCTAAGTATCTAGGTAAGTAAAGAACTTGGGTCAGGAGTGGTTCTCAAACTTCATTTTTGCCATCGTACAGACAAATTAAAGCACGAATGTTCAATTCCTATATAAGACTAGCTGGCATCCTCGGTTCCACATGGGGATGAATGACCGGAACCAAGTGGTACACGCTCATACGAAACATTTAAACTTACATTTCCGACTTGCGCTTTACGTCGCCTTCTGAATATCTCACTGCTCCTTTCCTCTCCTGCATTGCACGAAACCTGCGACAGCACCCGTATACGAACAGACTAGCCTTCCAGCAGACTCACAGCCAAATGAAAATGGGCATCACTGCCCTGATTACATGACCATGGGAAATTGCTTGATTAGGACATGGTAGGCTTTCATTTTCTTGGATGTAAAAACAAATCTAAATATATGGAAGGGTCTTGTGGGTCGCCGCAAAAAAGCTGCTTATTTCCTTCTCTGAGTTCGAAAACATGAGGGTGCAAAATTGTAGCCCATTCGGTCTGCACGAAAAAATTTGTGTGCTCTGCATAAAATTTGATAATAATTTAAAATTTACTCGCATTGAGTTATATATAGAGATGTTCAGGTTTATGGCTCCTAATGCTGATGTTGTAACAGCAGCAATCAGAGAACCCCAGAGCGCTATCGTGTTTGAACGTTTCGCCAGGTAAGTCAACAAGTATCATCGTCTCAAAGTGAAGTGCTATCTGAAGATAAATATGGATAATTTATATATAGATGATAATATACTAATACTAATACTAATAATATAATAATAATAGTAATAATAATTAATAATAATAATAATAATAAAATAATAATAATAATAATAATAATAATAATAATAATAATAATAATAATAATAATAGTGTCTGGAACTATTCAAAATTCAGGTATAAAATGTTGGCATCTTGAAGCAGAAGCAATTCTTTTTTTGGTGGGAAATATTGTAGGCAGCGATTAGGCAAGATTGCGCGTTTCGGCGTTCCTTAAAAAGATATGCGAAGGTTCAGTATGTATCAATACGTATTGATATTCACACTTTATGGGAAATGCTCCGCCGTGCTACGCCTTTCCAATCTCCTTGTAGATTGGAATTCTCGTTCTCGTCTTCTTTACGTTGCCTACCTGGAGATTGCTGCTGAGGGGCATGTCGCTGTGCTAAACTTCCAATCATTCAATTTTGTTCGGAGAATGCCTCTGAATTTTGCTTATGATGTTATACAGAACGGCAAATGAGAATTTCTCCCTTACGCAGATTTTTTCGTCTAAAACACTAATTTTATGTCCGGGTCTGGCAACTGCTGTCAGGGTGATCTAAGCCTCCTTAGCATGCATAATGCGAATCAGACGCGAGTCTCCTTCTCAGGACTTACCAAGAGATCCAAGCAGGTAATAATTCCACATAAAAACTTTGTTCTTTGCGCTAACGCTATAAACTTCAGTTTCTTATTCATGAGACAACGTTGGAGAAAATGAGGAAGTGAGTGGCTATATGATGTCTGCGTTTTACAATGGTTTATATTGGTGCTTTCTTTAGTTACGGTTCCGCCATGAAGATCTGCAAGATATGCCACCAGCCGAGAAGAAAGCGGATTGGCTATTCCGTACAACGTCCACCAACTGAGAACATTGAACATCTTTTGTATTTCAATCTTGACTGATAAGCTTTATGGTTTGATCCTTACTGTGGCCGCTTTTGATCTCAGATTAAGACGACAGGGTGGAAGAATTTACAACAAAAGGAGCGGAGTTCTGCAGTAGGATGTTCAAACCGTTCTGCCAGTCTCTGTCAGCTTTTTCTACCACGATTTCTAGATGTCACAACTTTTGCTCAACAGTAACAGTCAGTTAAGTAACACCAATTGTATAAGTAATTCCTGCCTTCTGTTTTGAAAACACCTTGCTTCTCTCACAAACCCCCTCAGAGAATCGCCGGGAATAGTAAACCACGACATTTATAGGCAAGCGGGCACCGGAAGAAAATAGTTCGCTGATTTCTTGCGTACCGCATGCAGATATTTGGAAGATTGCTAGCCACTTTTAGAGGAACGCTCAGAGGACAATCGCTGCTTTTTCATAGATTAGTTCGGCACCCGCGAGAATATGCGAAATTGTTGAGGGCCGCACGGTCCTTTGTGAAGGACCGCATAGCCCGTAGGTACCTTCCGCTTAGAGAAATTACCCCAAGCTCGGGTGATAAAACCATCGATGACAGCTCTGCCATATAGAGTCTCATAGTCGTCCTCCCCCCACTAGACGCCTAGTGGACAGATTCGAATTTGAAATAGAGCATGCCGGTCGCGGCAGAGCGCGGCACGCTCATATCCGTTTCAAGCTCACGCAGTAATCTTTTATATATTCTCTTCGTTGCATGTGATTTTTTTTGTTTTGATGACATTCGTGATGAGAATCGACGAGTTTGTCATTGCTTAGGTCCGTATGCACGTACATCCCTGCGGGGAGGGGAGGGGATCTAAGGAAGGAAGCGCCATAATTTGCTACTCTAAATATCTTTCTTCCATCTTCTCTATCTTGCTTATAAAGGTTCTCATACCCTTATACCTGCGGTTAATGAATGCCAGGTTACTGCTATACCAGATTAAATATTCACTATTTCTTCCGATCTCCTGGTGATTCCCAGGGATCACCTCACATTTTCAAAGTCATTTATCTTCCTGAAAAAATCAATAAACGCTGCAAAATTGTACTTAAGGTATACTACGATATTGCTGAGCATGTTTTCGAGAGAAGAAATGGAGTCTGAAGATTTTGATTTTTTCGATAATCCCTGGCTCGCGAGCAGCGGTTCATCGAAGATTTTGATATCTTGAGATTTCACTCATTTCTACCATAAACATGTTTAGCAGTGCTGTTGTATATCCTCAGTACATTTTTAGAGCATTTTCATCAAGTTTTCAGGAAGATAAATAACTTCGAAAATGTGGGGTGATCCCCTGGGGATCCTCAGGGGATCGGAAGAAATAGTGAATATTTGATATTGTATAGCAGTAACCTGGCATCCATTATGCGCAAGTATCAGTGTATGAAAATCTTTAAAAGCAAGACAGAGAAAGAAGAAGGAAAATACATAGACTAGCGATATATGCCGCTTCCCCTCTCAGATCCCCTCCCCTCCCCGCGGGGATGTACGTGCATACGGGCCTTAGTGATGTTTCTTATTATGAAGATCGTTTCTTCAGCTCTCTTTAAATTGACGTTGGAAAAACGATGCACATGGGGAGTTTTTGACATGACGTTCAATGAAACAGCACTACAAGACACGTTGCTTAGTGAAAAAAGATTTCACGAGCAGAGTTTTTGAACTTAGTCGTTTCTCCAAGCTTGACCTAAAATCAGAGTTCAAAAAACGAGCACGGCAGCTCAAAACATCGCTCAAAGGCAACGAAATCATTGATCCAAAATAAGAAGGCTCTTACATTTGAAAAAATACGAGAAAATACAACTGCTGCAAATGATGCGATAAAAGCAAGAAAAAACTTTAAAAAATAGAGAGAAACCTCGAAAAAACACAAAAATCCTGTCTGAGGTTGAAGTAAGGGCTGCAGATGCCGCGCTCTGCCGCTACCGACGTGCTCTAGTTCAAATTCGACTCGGTCCACTAGGTGTCTAGTGGACGGAGGAGGACTATACCTTTGCTCGGCGAAAGCCCGAAAGTGCGTAAAAAGAGTCCGAGCGCCTGCGGAAAGTTTGGCCAGCACTCGCTGAAAGAAATTATTTGACGAGCGCTAGCAGAAAATTCTGTATAGCTGACCGCTGGCAGAACATGCGACAGTGAAGGATGTACCGCCCGTCGAAGGTTTGGCCACGCCTCAAAATTCTGTCGACCGCTTGCAAGAAAGCGCGAGTTTGCGTTCCGCCTGCCCCCGGCGATTATCTGAGCCTTCGCGGTGCTCCGTCCAGCTGATAATCCTTTTTTTGTGATATAAGCTTCATTTGCTTGCAGTGCCTCACTGCAAAGCACTTGCTCAGATAATCGCCGGGGGCAGGCGGTCCGCAAACTCGCACTTTCTTGCAGGCGGTCAGCAGAATTCTGGGGCGTGGCCAAACCTTCAACGGGCGGTGCCTCCTTTACCGTCGAATGTCCTGCTAGCGGGGCAGAATACAGAGTTTTCTGCGAGCGGTCGTCAAATAATTTCTTTCAGCGAGCGCTGGCCAAACTCAGCAGGTGCTCGGACTCTTTTTAAGCAGCTTCGGGCGTACGTCGAGCAAATGTGAGACTCTATGCTGCAGAGGAGTCATCGATGGTTTAATCCATAGCTGCGTGGTTTGCTATATAGTTCTCAGATAATCGCCGGGGGCAGGCGGTCCGCAAACTCGCGCTTTTCTGCAGGCGGTCAGCAGAGTTTTGGGGCGTGGCCAAACCTTCAGCGGGCGGTACTTTCGTCTTCTGCCAGCGGGCAGCAATACAAAATTTCCTGCAAGCGCTCCGCAAATAATTTCTTTCAGCGAGCGCTGGCCAAATTTTCAGCAAGCGCTCGGACTCTTTTTAGGCATTTTCGTGCGTACGTCGAGCGCAGGTAAGACTCTGTGTGGCAGAGGTGTCACCGTTGGTTTAGTTACTCAAGTTTGAGGTACTTTCTCTCAGTGGAAAGTACCTGAGGGTTGAGCGGTCCTCCACAAAGGACCGTGCGGCCCTCGAAATTTTTGCATATTTTCGCGGAAAGTCCGCGAGAATGCGGCCACTGCGCCGCAGCTAATCCATAAAGAAACCGCGATTGTTCTTCAAGCTTTCGTCTTTAATTTCGCCAACTTTCTTCCAAATTTCTGCAAGCGGGCCGCAAAAAATCAACGAACTATTTTTCCGGTGCCCGCCTGCCCATAAATCGCATCGCCGCTTGCCCCCGGCGATTATCTGAGTTTGAGGTACTTTCCCCTAGCGGAAAGTACCTGAGGGCTGTGCGGTCCTTTACAAAGGACCGCGCGGCCCTCAATAATTTTGCATATTCTCGCGGGAAGTCCGCGAGTATGCGGCCAATGCGCCGCAACTAATCTATAGGAAAATTATGATAGTTCTCCGAGCATTCGTTCAAAAATTAGTCACCATTCCTCCACATTTCTGCAAGCGGGCCGCAAGAAATCAGCAAACTATTTTTCCGGTGCCCGCTTGCTCGAAATTCGCATGGCCGCCTGCCCCCCGCGATTATCTGAGTGGGCTCGTCATATACCATACAGTATACATCTTCAATGTCTACGCGTTCGCACCAGCGTACGCTCATACATGTATGCGAATTTTATCATACATGCGAATTTTGAGCAAGCGCGCACCGGAAAAATAGTTCGTTGATTTTTTGCCGCCCGCTTGCAGAAATTGGGAAGAAAGTTGGCGAAATTAAAGACGAATGTTTGAAGAACAATCGCGGTTTCTTTATGGGTTAGCTGCTTTCCGCGAGAATATGCAAAAATTTCGGGGGCCGCACGGTCTTTTGTAGAGGACCGCGCAACCCCCAGGTACTTTCCGCTGGGAGAAAGTACCTCAAACTTGAGTAATTAAACCAACGGTGACATCTCTGCCACACAGAGTCTTACCTGCGCTCGACATACGCCCGAAAATGCCTAAAAAGAGTCCGAGCGCTTGCCGAAAGTTTGGCCAGCGCTCGCTGAAAGAAATTATTTGCCGAGCGCTTGCAAAAAATGTTGTATTGCTGCCCGCTAGCAGAATATGCGACCGTAAAGGAAGTGCCGCCCGCTGAAGGTTTGACCACGCCCTAAAATTCTGCTGACCGCCTGCAGAAAAGCGCGAGTTTGCGGACCGCCTGCCCCCGGCGATTATCTGAGCATAAAGCAAGTGGTTAGTAATTTCGTGTGCTCTGTCCAGTGCTGCCCATTTGTAATAGTTCTAGCGACCAAAAAGGGAATGCGGGCCTAAAACCTTATAAAATGTCAATGTAGAATTTGATATGTTTCCAAGTCTGCAGGGATTGGAGCCTTCAGTTGATTTATGTTGACAAAAACAGTGATACTCAAGAAGTCCCGCTACTTTTCAATAATCAGTTGCATTAATTTTGTTCGGTTTGGAAGACATAAGAAACAGTACTGGAAGAGTGCTAACTGAAAAATGCTCATAAATATGCATTGATAGCTTGTTCTTGTCTGATGCAATTTCATGTTTCTGCTATATAAACTTATTTCCACGTCCTGAATGACTTCGCAATCATCGTCACATCTTCCAAAACAGTAAAAAAAATTTAGACATAAAAAGAACTAATCCGGGACAAGCCCGGATTTTATGATCATAACTATGTCGGGATGAATGTGAGAATTAAGATAGTAGGTAATATCTCAAAAATATTCCAGCAAAATTGAATTGCGTTTTTATAACCTTCTTTGTGTTAAAAACGAGGTTTTTGTGTAAATTTTCTCAAGAATTCGTAAACATTTCTCTGATGATCTCTTTTTAGACTACGATTGCGTTTCAAAAACTCACGAGAGCTCTTGGAGTTCAATAAAAACGAGAAACTGCGCTTATGCAGAGGGTTACGTTCGAAAAAGCTAGTTTATTTCGTCAAAGTGATTTTTAACGCCGGCGACGTTGTCAATGCTCCTAGTCGTGTTGTGACGATCAGAATGATATATGATGTTGCACGGTTTCGTTAAGACCCCGCAGAGATCTACGACTACAGCCAAACAAATGCCCCGCCGA